ACGATGACGATGACAATGATAATGGTAGTGTTGGTTGATGCTGAACTATGAATGATCAATGCAACGAAATATGATTAATTAAAGTGAATGTGCAATGAGAACACATAGAATAAATCAAACCGACACTGACTGCACACTCTGGCAATGTTCATTACCTGAACTTTTCCCTGCACATACCTTCACATGTGTGTCTGTGTGTGTGTGTGTGTGTGCATGTGTGTAAATGACAGTTTGCAAATAAAAGAAAAAAAAATCCTGCTCGTCTACAAATTATGTTAGTTTTTAATTGAATTTTGAAAGCACTTACAAACAATAACGACCATCGAATGAATTATTCGGAAAAATCCAATATGATGAAAAATATTTTTAATCTCATTTCCCATATTTTTCATATTGTTGTCGCTGTCAATCTAAAAAGTTGATAATAGTATATAAAAAAAAAAAAAACACTTAAATATCGATATTGTATGTATGGTCTTTTTTTTTTTTTTTTTAAACAATATTTTTTAAACAATATTACAGTTAGTCCAAAAAGTATTGAGCTTATTAATCACAAAGAAATAGCTTCAGTTAATATCAAATATCAATGCTTTTTCCTGCAAGTAAACAGAATTGAATGTCACGCATGACTTGGTCTCTTGGAAGAATAATATTTTTCCAAAATCATCTCGCGTATATATGCAAATGTATGCAAATGAAGTTCAGTTTATGTATTCGTTAGAAAAAAAATCCCTTTTACGTAATTTTTTTTCAAATAATATCATTACATTAAACAAATAAATACATGCACGGCACGTGAACTATGTGCATATAAAGTGCAGAGGAAACATGTTAACGTCTCTTATAAAGGTTGGTTAAAACGTATTTACGAAGAAAGGGGAATGGTAGTATTAGTAAATCGAAGCTCTACCTTCGTTCGACTAAAAATTTTCAATAGTTCTCATATTCTTTCAATCGGTCCAATACTGAAAAGCGTTAATCTTCCTGTTCAATTCGAAATACATATCGGTGGTGAACGGTTTACGGGGGAAAAATCATTCATATCGACCAACTGTAAGCAGTTTACTATTATTTGTTTCATTTAAACGAACGCATTGCTGGAAAACATCATCAACAGTAACTGGTGATATGAAGTCGATCTATAAAAGCATATATGGTTTAGAAGACATTATCAGCTGACTTTGCAGCTTCAGAATGGTCGCGCAGTTGCAATTGAATTGAAAAATACAACCACTCCTACATTTTCCTCCTTTCGATCAAGATTTGCTTCAATATATGACTTATTGCCGGTTCGGGCTTTGATTTAATTCTTACGTCGATAGGCAAAAAATGGATGCGGTTTTAAATAGAGTTAAAAGATCTTTTTTTTTTTTGTTTTCTTTTTAGGTCTGCCAAGAAGATGGCACCAGTATTGACCATTTAAGAGAATGTTTACCATTTTTCCTTTTTTCTATTTCTTTTTTGTTAAACATTGAATTTAATAAAAAAAAAAAAAAAGGAAACTTATTTGTATGCCCTACAGTTGGAATTAATTACTGAAAGGGAAGAAGATGCAGGAAAAAGATAGAAAGGAATGCTTTTTATATTAATGAAATGCTTATAGCTATTATTTTGATAGTGGAGCGTTGCAAAAACTCATACCACGAAGAAAACGTATAGTACCAAATTAAAAAAAAAAAAAAAACACTCGTCTTGGTCTCAAAAAAAGAATATCAATTATTGTGCTTTCAAGCCATTTTACAATCTGTTCTAAAGCAATTACAATCCCTGAGTGTATGCTCGCTATGGATACAAAATTGAAAGCGTTTTTTTTTTTTATATGCTATATATATATATAAAACCAACTGTTAATAAATTAACTATCATTTGGTTTCTTTTCTGCTATTTGTTGTTCGTGACTTCCTTAATGGGTAAAGATGTCTTAGCTCCTAATAGTTAATTAATTATTTGTTGGCATTCTATTAGAAGTGACGTCATTGTAAAAATTGAGAGAAAAACTGAACTGTGAATGTTTATAATTCTAAGTGATTCCTTTTTTATTGGCAATAACTAGAAGTGAGCTGCCTATACAACATCTTTTAGATTAGAAGTATATTTAAATTGGATCATTTTAACCATTATTCGCCATAGGTAATAAAAGTATTTAAACAACAATCAATAGCTTCACTAACGCAACACCCAAAACTATTTAAAATGGATTGCAATTTCTATTGTAACAGAATATTCAGAATGATTTTCTAATTTAAGCCAGCGCATTAATTGTCTGCCCTCGTATATTTATGCATTCTATCTACAGATAATAATTCCCTCTAAAAATTTTCCGAATCACTTTCTGAACGGACTTAAGCTTGTCCGCCTGGCTGTGTAAATTTTGTGGTCAACTTAATGATCGCATTTCCTTCTGAAGCTTTTCAGAACTATCTTTTTTAATCGATCTAAATCTGCCCACTTTCGACTTGTAGGTCGACATTTTTGACATATCTTCTTTTAAAGACTTTCGGTGTACTAAGGTTTTTTCCGCTAATTTTTATTACTATTGCCCATGTGACGTCATATTTTGAAGAAGGCGTTGCGAAGTGACCGAAATCTTCATTTTCTGCCACGAAAATGCATGAATGAGAATATCCTTACCCTTTCAAAAATTTAATACAAGGATTCACAAGCAACACAATTCGGAATCAACTATGTATGTACATGCACGTCATAATGCTTTTCATGCGTGCGTTTGTTCGCTGCAATAACTGGATAAATTTCCACATTTCGATGGTAAGCATGAACATCGATTCAATCTGAAACATAGCATAATTTGCCCTTTCGCCGAAGCAATATTTATATTAGTTTGGGGAAAAAGAAATCCATTATTTTTTCTAAAATTGTTTGATCGATACTTTACGAGAAATCTATCAGTGCAGCCATCTACCGAAAAAATAATGGATTTCTTTTTCCCCAAGCTAATACATATATATTAACGAGTTCTGTGCTATAATACAAAACCATATATAAAATCTTGTAACAATTCACTGAATTTAAACCCGACTAATTCGATTGCATTCATTATACCGTGGATCGAATGACAAGTTCTTAGTTACCTTAAGAGCTCAATTGTAATTTCCGCAGTTTGGGAAATAATATTAAAAAGCGAGATTAAACTTTTCGAGGCAAAATGTAAGTCTTTCTGGCACGATGGTCTTCCGGAGGGGGTGGAGGCTTGAGGTCATTTGGGGTAAACCCAAGTTTCATCAATGGCAGATCTTCAACATCGATGGGCATCATTAACTCTTTCCTTCTTTTGCTTATCAGAGACTGGTTTGGTCATTCAATTCAATTCCCACTTTTCACTTCATATATATAGGCATTTGCTTACAAGCTTCTATACAAAAGCACAGATGAGTACACAATAACAAAAAGATGTGAATTCTAAGTCAATGTAGTCCTTTTCTATGCTTAAATCATTAATTGTAATAAATAATTTTAGTACTTTCTACTATAATTGTAGTCTTCAACAAAATCAATCATTCAGGATATTAAGATTCATTAAGTGCATCAATTCAATTTGTTTATGTATGGAACGCGATTTATAGTCGTTTACTTCTACATGCTTACATATTTGAATTGTGCTGCTTAAATCACTAAACTAATAGATTGATGACGTTATCGAATTTTCTAAATGCGTAAAACACAGCAGCCACTTACCTTTCGAAAGAGAAACGTTGGCAACGTTGCAGATACAGTGGTTGTTTGAGGCACTCGACCGAAAATGCACAATAAACAAAACTATTCCTATTTAATAGTTAAGTGTCCTATCTATAGGCACTTAAAGGCAAGAAAATGAATTGTTATATGCACTTCATTCGTTGCTTTGAAGTTGTTTAAAAACAACAAATTAATGCAACTATGTTGCAATTGATTCCTCTTTTTGATACGGAACCATTCCGATAACGTGAAGTCCACCTTTCAAATCGCTTATCTGAAGCAGCTAAACAGAAGTAAGTAATACAGCTTGTGTACCTTGCTCTCAATTGTAATTATTACCCGACTTTTCTTAAAATCTGTAGCCAAAACAAGTAAAAATGTCATTATTATGGGTCACGGGCCCACCATTAAAGATTCTACACAACTTCCCTGAATACAGTTATTCAAATAACGATTTACAAACTAAGAATCTCCTCACGTGAGGTAATCGGAAAATTTATTCAATTTGAACGATTTTCAGTTGCGTTTACTCTTGGGCTAAAGCACGTGCGGGTACTAAATAGAATACGAGAATAGACGACGGACAGAAAATCTTAGACCGATTCTGAAAGCAATTTTGAATAGATCGGCATAACAATAAGTTGGGTCTATCTTGAATTCTTTTGGGTGTCGTGTAAATGCGCAAAAACTTCAGATATCCTTGGATATAAGCAAAAAATGTCTGTCCATTAAATTATATTTAAAGTCTTGATATATTTTCCACAAATATAATGATTCCTGTCAACGTAATTTCACTGACCATCCCGCAAATATCATTGTTAGATAATAATTAGATGAAAGCTGCTAACCTTTTTTACCTAAATTAGCCTTAGTTAATATTAAATATCAGCCTATGTGCGAATGAATAAAACGACGCCCCTGGATACGAAGGCTTAATACATTATTTTACTTGTTCTTATCGAATATAATATATCGTAAAAAACCCAGTCAGTCTTCTAGTGAATACAAACACCCACACACAGACACACAGCCACACATACATCTCATCTCTCTAAACTAGTCGACACTATATTAATATTTTATAAAACTAATAATGAAATTATTTATTTAACAAAAATTATATAAAAACTTTTTCTCTTTTTTTTTTTAAATTTTTTGCACTAAATTCTTCACCAAATTTCGAAAAAAAAAAAAAAACCAACAAAATTTTGTAACAAAATTAAAACAATAAACTGGTTGTCCGAACATATAAATCGAAAAACAAAAAAAAACGAAAAACAAATAAAATAAATCAATAAACTCGGCAGTGGCCTCCAATGATTCAGACGCTGTTAATATAAATAGTGAACCGTATACTCAGCCTTTAGCTCGACCGAGGATGCCGACAATAGCGTATTTGGAACCGCTGCCGAGACCCACAAAATCACCAAGTAGGTGCTGCCAAATACAAACAATACGCATTACATTAAAAGCAATTAGTTGTAGTTGTAATTTCTTGTACATGTTTTTTGTCCTTTTATTTTATTATTTTCAGTTTTCAATACGATTTTCGAACCGAACAAGAAAACGATAAATATTTTTCGTTTTTTTTTTTTTTTTTTTTTTTTTTTTTAAATTTATTTTTTTACATTAAGCTCGAATTAAAAACAATATAGCTTAACCCAGATTCATGCAGACACATTAAAAATTTAATGATTTAAAGCCAGCAAAAAATATACAAAAACATCTTAAATGCATCCGACATTTACTTATATTAGGACCAAAATATATTTTATAAAACTGCATACAGAAATTCATATACACTTTGCACACTTTGCATCCACACACATACACATATTAGCATATCTGCGAAAGTATTTGAAATGGCTGCGAATGTACATATACTTCCACATGTATGTTTACCCCATTACCGTAGAAACCTATACTTTATTTCTTTTTTTTTTTTTTTTTTCGTTTTTATTTCCTATTTTCGTTCAATATATTTGTGTGTGTGTTTTAATTGTTTTTCTTTTTCCTTTTGTTTTTTTTTTTTTAAATAACATTAATTTGAAAGAAAAAAAAAAAATTATTTTTCTTTTTCGATTTTGTCATTTTTACAGAATGCGACCAAACATTTGTGTCACGCATTGGTGGACCTCAAAATGGCACTTTTTCCGCTCCGCTTTTGCACAATCATAAAAATCATTCACGTCAATGTCTTTACACTTTCCTAGCAGGACCCGGTCAACGTGTTGAAGTAGTATTTAAAACATTTAATCTAAGAGGAAATCCACCTGAGTATGTACCAAATGTGCATTATTGTTAACAATAACTAACATAAAACTACATATATTTTAGTGCTATTCTTGCAATGATATGAAAAAAAAGTAAAGCAATCCAAGTAAAGTTTTGCTCACGTAAAAGATAGCACAAAAGAAGGACGAAGAGAAAGAGTTGTTTTTTTTTTTTTCATTTTTATCTTTATTATATCCAGAAGGGGGTGGATGAAACCAACATTCAAAATAAACTCCACACAAACGCAACGAGGTCTGCACATGTTTTACAAACCGACCTTTAAGCAATTAACTAAAATCCCAAACTTTGTTGGAAAATTAGTTCCTCTGCCCGAGAATTTGGATTTAATAATGGTTCCTCCTTCAACAAAACTGGTTTGGAGTACAAATAGTTATTTGTACAGACAGTTGTCGAATAAGCTTTTAAGGCACTCGTGTAACGTTATCAAAGGCTTTGTCGCCTCGCAAAGCAATACGAGTAACAGAAAAATATACAGTTTGGCTTTGGTTCGCTCCGTTGAATACACCCGTGCCGTTGGTGCAAAGATTTTCTTTTCACTATCTCTCTCAGCAACTTAAAATTTGCAAGCTCCACTCAAAACGACTTTCAATCGAAATTTTCTGCTATCCTAAGGTGCATCTTACGTTTTCCGTATATTTGTTTAGTTAGTTGAATAATCTATACCTAATTCAAGTCAAATGTTGGAGCCAAAGACTCAACCAATTCTTTCCACGTCAACCTTTCCTTTTCGTTCGTTTTTAAATAAATCTAAATATTTTCGCATCGTATATGTAGAATAAAGCAAACTATGACTCGAAAATGGACGAAAAAGCGGTTATTTCAATTATTTTTATTAATTTAGCCAGAGAAATAAATTCCAAGTCCGAAGTCTTAAAACAGCAGCATCTACGGCTATCAGATTAATTGAAAATTCTACTGCACTTGACATTTGAACCCACGGGCGTTGAGTTGTCAGTCAAGACCCTTTGCCTACCTCGACCACTCACGCGAGTATATTTCAACTACAATGGCAACCATTTCCTATTTGAACAAAGTGTCAAAGTAAATAAAATATGAAAAGGCTACAAATGCTTTCATAGTGGAGAGCTTATAAAGACCAATCCAGTGCATTTTCGATAGGGTTCATCCTAGGACCAAAACATGTCAATAGATAAAATATTATCATCAAAAATTGCGATCTGTAAAAGAATGTGTGGGCAACTACTAAGCAGACGAGCAGACAGATAAATTTAAATTGTTTCAGGAAACAGTTACGAATCAGTATAATTGCATGAAAATAATAAAGCATAAAAATGCACGGACCGACATAAAATACACAAGCAGATGGACGTAAATCGATTCCGAAAGTTATTCTGAATCATTTAAAATAATAAAAAAGAAGTTTATTTGAAGTCCTTCTAAGTGTTAGACTTATCTATTATACTCGGCATGTTAAGTATAGGTGATATGGTAGAAAAACACACACAGAGAAGGTTGGGCTTCGACGCTTGGAATCACTTCTTTGAGCAACTTCTAATCATAAACAACGTTTCCTCCATGAAGTAATAAAAGAAAAACTAAAATTCTTTTCTCCAAATGATAGAACTAGTAAAGGTCCTCCAAAGGTCCAATCATGCATCTCGTCTTAAAATTATCGTATTATGGAATTCTTTCAAAATTTTCTTCCAATTAATTTTCACGTTTTTGCAAGTAAGTGGAATTCTTCCCATATGTTATACATTTCGAGTAAAAGTTTTATTACTAAACTAAAAAGGGACGACGGACACCATTTGCCTTTTACATTTTTTTTAAAGTTGCTTTGCTATCAAGTGTATAAGAATCGCAATAATCGATCAGACCCAGAGCCGTAGAATGAACGGATTTAATAAATTGCTATACTTTTTTATCATACGCAAGATAATCTTCAAAATTTTTTTTACAACTTAACTCAATAAGTTTTTGTCATTTATTTATGCAGCGGCTCAGCAGTCGGTGAATTACCATCGTAAGTACATCAAGAAAAAAATATTTACATAAACAATGTTTGCCGCGGATGGTTAATACATTTATTGAATAGGATCTACAGTCCAATAAATAGATTTTTGGAAGGAAATCACGGGTCAAGTAAAATTTACTGGCTCGCAAAAGCATGTTGTTATGCAGTACGAAGCACTAGATAGAGTCTTTTTCTTTTCATAGCCTATTTTTGATACCAAAACAACAACAATGACTAGATAGCGGCAATAACCTCAGCTGCAACCTAAATTTTGAGAAATCTGCTTAAGAGAAAACTATTCCGATAAATAACGGATAGCAATTTTAGTAGTAAATCTAGATAGAAATTCAATAAAATATATTAGTCTGCGAAAGATTTTTACGTAATCGATTGTTTGCAAATTCGTAAAATCTCGAAATTGGGGTTCGTGGGGTGAAGCGATAAAACCATGTCGGCAAACATTTATTTATTTTCCTTACTCATGAGAGGAAAACTTTTCTAAACTCACTTTCCACTTTCCAGATGTGTTCATGAGTATATGGATATATACTCGGAGGTGCAGTCTTCGGAACCAGCGGAATTGATAAATTCACCATTTGGTGGACGTTACTGTGGAACAATTCCACCTCGCCGACGTATCTCTATGTATCGTGCTATAGCGATTTCATTTTTTACTAATAAAAATGTCACTACACCTGATCTATTTGAAGGAACCTATAGATTTATAAATGCATGTAAGTACACCCAGCTGCATAATAATAATAATTATAATAATAATAAACATAATAATAATGATACCTTAAACCGTATAAGAAAGTTATATTCGGCTGTGGTCGAATCTCGCATACCCACCACTCACATACTTTTACTTATTGTCATAAAAAAATGAATGGGAAAAAATGACAATTAATTTAGAATTAACACGCTTACCTTGTCGCCTTCTACTCTCCAAGGTTTTTTTTTTGATAGCCATACCACTGGTATTATTAAGAGAAAATTAATCCATTATGCATTTTTAGGCAGGAATGTACAAAATAGTTTCAAACATTTCATCTTGTTTGCCTTATGATAAATAAGCAAAAGTGAAAAAAAAAGAAACTTATTCACTTGTAACTTTGTGTGGGCATGGCCGATTTTTTCCATTTTTGCACATAAATAATAAAGTTTTTCGTAAAGTAAAAGTGAAAAATTCCGGCCTTCTATCTTTTATATAATATGGGTGATGGGCAAAAACTCGCAAATTTTTGTTTAAAGAAACGAAGTTATATTCAGTTTAGACTTCACGGCGGCCTTGTGCTTCAACCGATATTTTGGCCAACTTCGATACCAATCTGTGCGGAAAAATTTCCAATGTTTCTACCAAATTTGAACTTGATGTCTTCTTTTTTGGCACCACGAGAGTGTCAACAACACACACACAACACAGATAGGTCAGACGAACGGAAATGTCTTGATTAATTTAGAATATGTTGCTGAGCAACAATATATATATATACATATATATACGCTTTATAAGATCTTTGAAATTTCTTTTTGGATGTTGGAATATAATCGCATCCTTCAGAGTGATGGGTATAAAAATAATTCTACCTACATACTTCGTATCTAATCTTTTATTAATCATAAAATATTAATACATTTTTCTTTTTTAATTCCATTAAACGCATATGTAGCGGAATATGAGATTGGTATACCAATTGCTGGTTCACCATGTTCCTATACGATAACACCTAGTCTGAGCATAAATAAAACGGGCGTTTTAATATCGCCAACATACCCGGGTGCCTATCCCAAAGATATGTCATGTACATATCAATTTTTAGGTGAATCAAATCAAAGAGTTAGATTAGAATTTCGCGACTTTGATCTTTTTTTTGGTGGACCACAGTGAGTACCATTAATACGCTATAATAGTAAAATATAAAAGCAAAAGCACTAAAATAAAATTAAATAAAATTCTATTTTAGTTCTTTTGTTAAAATCTTTTGCCTTAATTTCAAAACAATTAACAAAATTAAATTAAAAAAAAAAAATTAAAAAAAAAAAAATGTTATTTTCAATATTTTTTGTTTCTTTTACGTTTCATATTCGAAGCTGTCCATTTGATTATGTTAAAGTATATGACGGTCCTGATAATTCATCAGCATTAGTTGGTACATATTGCGGTCAACAAAGAAATCTAGTTTTATATTCAAGCGAATCAAGTTTATTTGTGCATTTTTATACATTACCACGAACGGCGAATACACAGAATCGTGGTTTTAAAGGAATTTATGAATTTAGTGAAAGTTTTGTTAAATTAGATTTTATACGTAAGTACATAGACATAACATACACGTAATGTAAAATTTTCCATAAGTATATTCACGTAAGTTTCAATTCATGCTTAAACACATCAAGTCCATGATAAACTTAATTATTTTCCTTCCTACCCATCAAAGAATGCGAAACTAATTATAATTTCATCATTCCGTTCCTAATAGCAGCTATTAATTTTTAATCACTATTCTAATTTACTTTTATCGCATACCTCCATTCACCTGTACATCTGTCGTTAGACTTTTTAGGAACCCACAATAGATACAGCTAAGATGCAATTCTATTCTCTGAGAGCTTTGTAAGACACAATATATATATATATATGGGACTTTTCCTTTTCGAACAACCAATCCGCCCATCTGGGGAATATTACTCATAAATACGTAATGCGTAATCCATTTGTGCGTAATTTCTTCTTCTCGCAACTGCGCAACCAAAAACATTGGGGGAACGGGTATTTTTCAAAGCCAATCGAACAGACAAACTGCTATGTCACATCTCCCTAATTGTCTATACACCAACACTATTGGTAAGATCGTTCTCATTGAGAGTATTATCAAATGTATATGAGAACTAGTCTGTGAAATCGTACAATAATTTCAAGTAAAAGTTCGATCATCCAGTAGAGACATAAATAGGCGAGACACTGACAACCCTTGCAATATAAAAATGTACGTATGCTCAAGAACATCTAGATCTCCATTTATGCAGTTTGAATGTGAGACAATTTCTTATTTTAGTCCGCTTTTCCTATCTCTTACACTCGAACCATTTTCAAAACCTGAAAGAACTTGAATCCGAATATCCATGCAGGAGTCGCTGCAGCTCGGTGAATGATTAGCATAATATGCTTATTACAAAAAAATCACAAACAATATAGATTAAATAAAGCGACGCACTACCATGATGCAAAATCCAAGAAAGACCCCTACATAAAAGGGTTGTGTAACAGCTTTGCTTTCAGCAGCATATGTACTCTCAAAAACAACAAAAAATTATTCTTTCGCCTTCAGGCCAATCTTTGTTATTTGCATCGCTCCTCATATACCCGATTATTTTTTCATTTTGAGCATCATATTATTTGCATATATTTGATCAATATTATTAACTATAATAATACAATTATTACTTACAACATATAGAAGAAGGGGAAATGAAGGCAACAATGCTCACATATAATCATTGTTCAGCATGTAAAATTTTTCTATGATTTGTTTTTATTGAAAAAAGGAAAATAAGTCTTGTTCTCGTGATAGTTTCGTGGAAAATTTGATTTATTTTTATTATATTTACATAATGATGACGATGGTAATGATGCGGGACCATCAGATGTAATGGGCTGAGTTTTTGAGCTATGGGAGCTATATTTATATGTTAACTATGTTTAAACATACAAACATAATTCAAGCATAAAATTATGATTAGTGGGATATACACATACATATATATATATATATACATAAAAAAAAACATGGTTCATATCCCTAATTTTTTAATTTTATTTATAATTAATAATTTTTTGCCTATTAAAGATTAGGAGGATCCACTAGCGATTACAGGTTTACCTGTTTACGTACCTCACGCGAGAAGCGAGAAAGTTTTAACTTTGGCTTCAGACTTTTTTACTCACGATAAGTTTTTTGCGAATTGACTTTTTTAGTTCGCTGTTTAATATGATTAAAATCGTACTTCATTTTTAAGATTTCACACTTTTTTATGATTTTGCTTTTAGATTTGCTTCATTCTATAACAGACAGCAATTTGTAGATGACTTAAAAAGTCCGTTATGCAATCACAGCTGCTTGAAGCAATGAAAGCGTGTTTTTTGAAAATCACATGTTTTAAGCTTGCCGTGCCGACAGCTCTTTCAGCTTTCATTTAAGTTTATCCAAAATATTGATTTGACAGCAAACTTTATTGCATTAAGTTTGAACTACGCGAGTTCATTTTTTGATATCCTTTTCCAAGAAGAGTTGGTCGAAGCGGCTTCATATGTAAGGGTTTGTTTTTCAAATTCCCTTCGATATAAGGGGTCTTATAGACTTTATATTTTTACATGACAACAAGATGATCTAATTTTTGATATTTTAGGCGAAATATGGTAAGATAATTAATAACTGCCATCGGCTAGCTATAACGTTTTAACCTGCTTGAAAATAAATTTAGGAAAGCAGCCTAAGAAAAAAAATGAACGCAAGATGCTCTTGTCCCCTAACAAATATTGACGCGTTTTATAAATAGTTGTTAAGGTAATCACGTCAAACTCAAACTATTTTGTTTTCTTCTGGCAGTTTTTTCTCATATTTACATTCGTCTTGAACCTAGTAATAAAAGACTACAGACTTATCTTCTTCGTTAAGCCTTATCCACCCTTAAGACAGCTTTAAAAAAATTGCTCGGAATTAATGAACATAAATCATGCGTATCTTTTGTGGCACATGTACGAAATTTTTTTTGGATACACTTTCTAAAATTTAATCTAGAATTCCGTAACCCACAACTGCCAGTGATTGAAATAGAAGTCTTTTCTGGAAACTTGATTAAATTTTTTTTATTCAACCACGTTCGGTATACTGCTGCATGTACTGACACCGGTACACTAATATTGATAGTTCGTTTATAAGAGTAGTAGGTAAGCAAGAATTTAATAAAATATGAACTTTTTTCGCCAAGGAAAAATTCTTTGTCAACGTAGCCATCCCCTTTCGTACTCCTCGCTTAACAGCTCGCACCTGTATAGATCGAGCTTTCTAATAACCGTTATTCGATAAATACATAATAAACCAAAATATCCAAACTACATTGAATACGACAAAATCTTATTAACAAATTTTTTTATGTATATTATATTAAAAATATCTAACAACAATAACAAAAATCTATTCGAGTCTATATAAGTGCTGATATTATTTTTGCAGTTAATTTTTTGCATTACATTTTTTAGGTCGACGTAAGATCAAATAAAGCTTTCTACATTTTTTTTTTTAAATTAATTTTTTGCATTACATTTTTTAGATCCGCGTATGTGTTTGTTATTAAAAAAAAAGAAAGAAAACCAAAAAAAAAAAAAAAAGGTTAGGAGCGAGGAGTTTTGATGCATTTTATATTTCATTAAAGTCTATTAAACTACTCGCTTCTTAGTCTTACTCACTACTTAATTTTAACTTTCTTCTTAATTACGATTATTTACTCTGTATTCTTTTTCCCTTCTAAAAATTCAATCTATCTATTTCTCTCTCGCTTTTCCCCGCTCTCACCCTACACAACTATACAATACTATAACTACGAATTTTTCTAATATTTCTTCAAATGCAACAACACTTCGCTCGTTATTTATTGCAAAAAAAAAAAATTTATATAAAAACTGCTTTAGGAGAAAACGATGGCATTCACATACGTGGCTCAGAATGTGATCAAAAGATATTATCGAAAAAGGAATCGACGGGTTATGTTTTATCACCTAATTATCCTTATCCTTATATACCAAAAACAGTATGTAGGTGAGTATGATGATATACGTATACAAAAAAAAAAATAAATAATACAAAAAAAAGTGAACAAAGAAATCTCGTTCTATTCACATTGACGGATTGATTTGTTCTCGTCTTATAACAGATACTTCATTTACGGTATGCAAGATGCTCAGCATTTAGAACGAGTACGTTTAGAATTTACAGCATTTAATATACCAAAAGTTGAGCATAAGGATAGAAGCGAGTGAGTAAAACATGAAGTGTATTGCGATTGATTGTAAAATTCTTTGCATTTTTCTTTCAAGATCGAATTGTACCGATGGGTATTTGAAAATCTATCTAAAAGGTCAAGAGACCGCCGATGCTTATGACAAATTTGATTATGAATTATGTGGCAACGAAACTCAACGTGTGGTTAGCGATGGTCCCCGTTTGGCAATGGTGTTCAGTTCCGGTGAGCTGCAAGGTCGGGGTTTTAAAGGCAAATATACCTTTGAAACTGAATATAAAATTCCCGGCACCGCTGCACCAGACGGTAGCTGCAGTTTTACTTATGTTAGTGCTTCCAAAAAACGCGGTGAATTAAATAGTCCGCGTTATCCTTCCAATTATCCATCAGATACAAATTGTTCGTATCTGTTCTTGGCCGAAACCAACGAACAGGTGACAATTGTATTTGATCATTTCAAAATTAAAGCGGATGGCAATCCAAACGTTACTGCTGGTGCTTATGGGTAAGTGTAAACTTTAAAAGAAAAAAAATCTATCTGCTATCTATCTATCTATCTATCTATTTATTATTTGTTTATTTATTGTTTTTTTTTTATTTATTTTTTTCAGATCTATTAACTGCTTTGAGGATTGGTTGGAAATGTATGTCGTTTATCGCGACAACAATGATCGTTTTCTTGGTCGTTATTGTGGTATGACAGCACCCGGTCCAGTTGAGAGCCCAAGGGGCGCGGTCGGCTTGCGTATCACATTGCATACCGATCAAGAAAATGTGGCAAGCGGTTTTAAGGCTCGTTACTTTTTTGAAACTTCCAAAAGTGAAATCGGCGATTGCGGTGGTAATTTCTCCAATGAGGATTCCGGTATTATTACATCGCCCAATTATCCGGCTGGTTATAAGGCGCCAGGACGTGGTATGGCTTCGATGGCCTGCAATTGGATAATGACTGCCAGACCGGGCTATAAACTCTCTATTCATTTTGAGCATTTCTCATTGGAAGGTGATCCCGCCAGTAAGTGCAAACATAACAATTATAAAAAAAAAAATAAATAAATAAATAAATAATAATTGTGTAAACACAAGAGAACAATGAAATAATTTTCATTTTTCATTCAATTTGCCAACATATAGACCGCGGTTGTTCGGCGGCGGTTTTACGTCTCTGGGTTAACGTTGATTCCGATCAGCCACCGTTAGAGCTATGTGGTGAAAAACCGCCAATTGAACAATGGCATTACATTTCCACAGGACAAACAGCTCGCATTAGTTTTACTACTAGCGATAAAACTGTCGGTGCTCAGGTAAGTAACAATTTGGTATAACTACATCCACTATATACATACGTTTTTATGAAAATATCATTGCAGTAAAAATTTTTACTTTCAATTGCAATAATTGGGGGAAAAAAGCTATAAAATCTGTATGCAATTAAACAAAAACAAGAAAGATAGTTATACTCGGCGAGTGCTGAATCTCGCACACCCACCACTATGCTTTTTGCATTCTACTCTCCAAGCACTTTTATTTAATACCCATATCAATGGTATTATTAAGGAAAAATTAATGTCCACCATAATCATTTTAAAATTAACCCATTTTTAGGCAGATAATATATCTTCATTTGCGGAGTGTACAAAATAGTTTTAAACGATTTGTCTTGTTTGCTTTATGATAAATAAGCTTTAAACCTCGAAAAAGTGAAAAAAATCTAATTTAATTATTCGTAACTTTGTGTGGACACGGCCGAGTTTTTCCATTCTTGCAAGTGTGAAAAATTCCCCGATTTCTATCTTTTATATAATATGGGTAAAGGGCAAAAACTCGCAAATTTTTGTTCAGAAAAACGAAGTTATATTCAGTTTAGACTTCACGGCGGCCTTGTGCTCCAACCGATTTTTTTGCCCATCTTCGATACCAATCTGCGCGGAAAAATTTCCAATATTTCTACCAAATTTGAAGTCGATATCTTCATTTTTGCGACCAGATGAGTGCCTACAACGCAACCACGCAGACCCAAAGACAGGCGGACGTGGCTAAATGAAGTTAAAATTTCACCCTGATCAAGAAAATATGTACTTTATAGGGTCTCCAAAGCTTCCTTTTGGATTTTACATATATTTTGAAAAAAAAAAAAAAACAAAATGAGTATACCCGCATCTTACAGTGGTGGGTATAAAAAAAATGGTAAAAGAGTAAGATGTGTTTTTTTAACACTGAACACTTACATTCAAATTTGAAGCTGCGACTCCCGTAGTAAAAAAACGCAATCAGAATTTATATATATAATCTTAATATAATTGTAATAATTAACAAAAAGGGTCTACCCGGGCCCAGGCCATAGTACGGCAGATTATACTTTAATTGCGAATGGTGTGGGTGATCGTGGGTATAACGAACACTCGGTCGCATAACATTTACCTTAAGCGTACTGAGGCCATATAGCCCGCATCCTGTTCTCCTTATTTCTTTCTCACTGATTACTGTGTTCATACACACACAGTAGAGTTATTAGTCATAAAAACCTGAGCTCGCTCTTCCAATCACAAATTAAATTAAAAATATGAGCTCATCCTAAGCATCACTTGCTGAAGGAAGTTTTGTTCCTTTTTTATTTACGCCCTTTAATAGCCAAATGGCCTGGTCTCGCTGAGATAATCCCTTAGAATATATATTACTTTATATCACGAGCAAAGTTTTCGTATCGCAAAGCATTTTTCTAATCTCTTCCTGTAAAGATACTTAACAAAAAAAAAAACAAAAAATGGAAAAACATTTCAAACTTTATCGAGTGATTTCGATTTGAGAATCGTATAAGTGGAAATTAAAACATGAGAATTTGTTTATTCTATTACTTAGGGTTTCCGCATAATATGGACTGAAATACAGGATTCTGGGCCAGGACCACCGTCAATTGGTTTACTGTGCGAATCCACCTACCATTTTCAATGTGAGGTGGGCTACTGCATCTCGGATAAGTTACGCTGTGATGGTGTTAAAAATTGTGGTCCTGGTGATGATAGTGACGAATTGCACTGTGAGTCGTGAGTGAGTCGAACGGTTCAGTTCATTTGTTTTTCACTTTTTTAAAATTATATATTAATTTATAATTATTATTTTTTTATTTATTTATTTATTTTTGATTTTTTTACTTAATTTTAACCAAAAGTTTTTCTTCTTTTTTACCACCTTTTTTTTTTTATTAAACCGTTAAAAAGAATTTTAAATGCAGAAATTCCAGCAAAGACAAAAAAGAAGAAATTATGCATAATTTCGCGTATTAATTAATTAATTTAATTTATTTTTTTTTTTTTACAATTTTTGGAAGAAATTTTACTTTGGTAAAAACTTTTTTCCATTTTATTTATATCGATTAAAAAAACTTTTTGTCATATATTTTGTTTTTGTTTTTTTTTTTTAATATTGAAAATCTTTACTTAATAAACATAACTAACAATTTATCATTGTTTATTCAGAAAACATATTCAAATCAAAACGAAAATTGAAAATCTTTTCTTAATGAAGAAAAAATTATTCCCGTTTTTTTTTTTTCAACTTTTCATACTGTCACCGCATTTCATAAATTTTCGTGTTTTCTGTACGTGCATTTGTGTGTGTGCGTGTGTATGCGTGCGTGTATGCATGCTATTGTGTACGTGCAAAGTTTTATTGCAATTCATTTCATCGCTTCTACTAAATAATATGTTTGCATACGCTAAACAGATGCATGTTCCTTCTAAATACAATTATTGCGTTGTTTACGTTTATTCGTATGTTGACGTTTAGAGTGAAAAACTATTGTTAACCGCACAACGGTTATGTTTAGTTGTATTTCATTTCAATATTGTTTTATTTTATAATGACGGTGAGAAATTCAAATTTGTTGAGAATTTTCTTATCATTGCTTCTTCTTAGGCATAAATCAAGAGAGATTAGAATTGAAAATTAGAATAACTGTATTTGTAGTTTCGAATGCAAATTATTTGCCTTGCACACTTACCATGCAATGGTGACGGCTAAAATTTTCAATTTGAAAAAAATAATTTTTGAAATTTCAAATATTTTTTTTATATAACTGATCTAAACACACACACACATTTAGAATTTTCACGTACATATTAACATATACTCTGTTCAGAAAGTAACGGGAATATTTAAGCAAAACGCTATTTTATCATCATGCAATACCATTAACAATAAGGACTAAATATTGGAATTTCGTTTTTAGTGCTAGCAGTATTCTTAGAAGCATAGACATATCATAGTGAACCATATCGGAAGTGATATCATCTTATCGATGAGTTATGCTTCTCGTTGAAGAAAACAATCCATAAGGGGAAAATAATTTTCTCGAGCCTGCTTTCATAGTCGACCGCTTTGCGATCATCAAACATGTTTCTTGATTTGGGTTTGACGGCTGGTTATTGCCTAATTTCAATGTAGCCTTACGTGTCATCTTCAATTGCATTAATCGCGTATGCAAAAGAATCATTTATATATTTTTTTTTTTTGAAGATTTTTCGCACAAATATCAACATCAGCGGAATTTTATAGCATATTCATTGTTCGTTCTTGTTTAGCGGGAAATCGTCTCAATATCTTTATCTGTATCTGCATGTTTCGTAGAATCTTCAGAAAAGCAAACTAGGGCTGCATTAAATTTTTCAATTCGAAAACTAGCAAAATTGGTTATCGATCTGCCAGGAATTGCCGGAAAAAAAGAAAAAAATTGCTTTAATTTTTTTAAAACTTATCTCTCAACTCATCTCTAAATGTGACAAAATAAACAAATTTTAAATACATTTTCTACTGAATGCTTGCTTACTTCTTAAAGACTGAAAATGCTGCCATGATTGGTTTATCGAAATAGTTTTTTTATAATTAATATTAAGTGTGAACATTAATTTTTTTAATTCCCGGTACTTATTGATCAGTGTAATCGTGATATATTATCGTAGTTAATCATCTCTCTGGCTATCTTTCCAAGTTCAATTCTCATACTTATTACATACTTTTCTTTCTTTTCTTTCTTCTTACTTCTTTTCTTATTTTTCTTTCCAAATCATTTCCTCTTCTGCTAATCCTTCTTCTAACAACAATTATTTTACACATTTTCAATGTATATGTGCGTATTTTGTGAACTATATATCTACATTGTATATGTGTCTGTCTCTCTTGTCTATTTCCTGTTCGTATCAACTGTGTAACAACAATAATAACAATCTGTTCAAATGTATATATATATATATATATATATATATACAAACATATATAACGCATATAATGTACAACAACCGTATCTCACTACAAAAATTCTCGTACGCAGGTGACGGAAACAATCCACATCATTTCTCTTCAATTATATTAAAATTAATTAATTTAGCAATAATATTTTTAATTAATAGACAATGGATTTATTTTTATGGCAAAAAAATGATATCATAAACAATCCAATGATAATTATTGCTAAATCAATAAATTCTTTATTAACAAATAATTTTAATTAAACAAAAAAAAAAAAAAAAAAACATAAACAATTATTTCAATTTTAACACGTGAGTTAATAAATTTAAATTTTTTTCACAATTTTAATTCAAATATCCTTTTTACAACAAAAGACTGCTTATATTCACCCTTCACTTACTTACTTACTTACTTACCGTTTACCCTTTTCCCCGTCATTCAATTAACCGCGTAAATGAACCAGCACAAGGACAGACAACTGTTTGTTTCTGTTTACAGAACTCGCCATTCATATAAGAGAAAGATTAATGCTTATATCCTTAGCAATCTATTCTATATCTGAACAAAAGCCAAAATAAAATTTCAATAACACTATGAGATCATTCGTTACTTTAGTTCACCTGTGCTTAGCGCGCGTATAAAATAAAATTTAAATAATAAAATATATTTGAATTTTGTTCCAGCTTATTAATCCAAGTTATATTTCAATACAAATTTATATTAATTTGTCTGATAATTTTTTTAGAAGAAATTATGGAACCTTTTAACAAAAAACTATGAACACATGAGTTATCGGATCCTTGTCATTCGTCATTTCGTGACAAAGGTTTAACGCCATGTGTTACCACATTTCGATCGCATCTCTATTCTCAACACACACACACACACACACACATAGTGAAAATGAAAAAAAAAAAAAAAAACCAATGGATTAATACGGTTATACGCTTATCTCAAGACTATATATTGATGCGCTTAACAGCTAGAGAATGACACAACATTTTTTTCACATTCATATTATTTATGTAATATAATCACATACACAAATAATGAATTTTATCCAAATTTCCCATAAACGCTTACATTGTTCTACGATATATCATTTATCATTTACTTACTACACTTCTTACATAATTACACTTCTTATGCAATATATATATATATATATGTATATATTACGTAATACTATTATAGTGCACTTTAGTTTCAAATTTAATTTAATTAAATACATTCATTTCTCATTCTCTTTAGACAAGCCAATAATTGGCTAACGTTACGTTACGTTATGTATTATAAGTAAAGACCAAAACATATCAAGAGCACTTAAGAAATTTAATTATTATCAATTGTTAATTGTTAATCTCGTTGTTAATATATTCAGCTCAATCGCTTCTTTTTTTTTTTTTCAACTTCAACGTAACAATAACATAACACATTATTAAGTGGAAAGCGAAAAAGAGCAATGAAAGACGAATTCATTGAATAATATCTCCCAGATATATTCCATCTAAACCATAAATGGATTACATTAGTAAAACTACTTGACAAGATATTTTTTTTTTTTTTTTATATATATATATATTTAAATGATAATTTTTTATACATTGCTTAAGCGATAATTTCAGTTTGTAATTTCTTTTTCCCATTAAATAAAAAAAATTTAATTTTGAGGCGTGGTGCAATTTTCAAATAGCTCAAAGGTTTGATTTTCAAACGAGTTACGAGTGTTTAACTCTCTCTCTCTCCGCGTACCTGTCGACAACATATTGTCACGAAAATCCCAAATCCAGTTAATAATCCGCTAAGTAATTTTCCCTAATAATAAATTCCGTAAAGAAGGACAAACCAAATGAAGATTGGCAGGCGCGTCATGCAGGTGCGGGCCGATGAAAACGATGAAGCGGAAAAAATAGATAGAGATTAAGTATAAAGGCTATGAATTTGGATATAGTAACATGCTTATAAAAATATATACAATTAGAATAATTGCGGAAGGGAGAATTAGTCGGGCAAGAACATAGAAGTTGAGAGTACGGCCGAAATAAATTGTGAATAATCCTGCATTGAATGGAATATAAATGTAAATAAAATAACTTTGAACTGTATTTCTCTTGACCAAAATATCGATGATCTAGTGATACGGACTGCATCTTAGAAAAGCGAATTTTATAACAATATTTTTAATGCTTACTGGAACTCTTACGGGCCGTTTCAATTTTCCTTCAATTAGCTTAAAAATTTTGGAAATTAATTACAACTTGAGAATAAGATAAGATAAAGTAAATGACTATCATAGGATTTATTTCGGAAAGAAGGAAATTTTCCGATTCCAGGGCGATTTGATCTTCGAGTCCTATTTCCAAAATTGTTTACTATACTAGATACTGCCGTGCGTGACTATAAGTCTTTCATCGGCTATTATTTTTCAACATTCTTTCGAACACATTTTGTTCTTAAAATTTGGAAAAAAAAATTTTAATGTATTTTTGAAAAAGATTGAAAAAAACGAGACGCATTTTAATGGAAATTCATAAAAAAAAACTTATGCTTCTCTGTAAATTGTGTTTTATCATTAAGCGATTGTAGACTGCTACCCGTAGCTGAATTGATTGCGAAAGCAAACCTCTTGAGGAAATGCATTCACTTGCAGAATAACAATCAGGAGACAGATCTTTGATATTTCTATAATGTTGCAATAATCCTAAATACAAAAAAAAAAAAAAAATTTTTCAAGGCCGCACTATCCTCTTGCGAACTCTGCTGTGCTTTAGGAAAGCATGCAGTTCGTGATTTATTAGATGAAAGGAGTCCTCTTGCTATGACCAAATATTATGACCAAAGAAGTAAAACCTCGCTTGTGACATTATTGGGGGCGAGAGCGAAGTGTTAGTCTTCAAGCAAGCGCTGAAAGCAGCGTCCGGGCTAAACTTAACCGAGCAAGAATGCTGGATAGATGTATGATAGGGAAAGGAAAAAGCGGATACGATAATAGCATCTTGAAAATGTCTATAGCAGAACGTTGGGCAGTTTAGAAAACTCATGTATTTTAGTTATATAACGATAGCCACAGATTATAAAATCGTGGCCGTGTACATACAACCCGTCCAGCTCACAAAAGCGCTTATAATTAAAAATTTTTAAATGTTGAAAGTGACTTTGAACGAAAGTTCTAAAGGTAAAGAAGTATCTTCACATATCCTAACGAACAATAATTTTAGATCAAGTGACAATAACTAATTGGAACATATTTATGAGCCCCGTTATAGCGCGAATGCTCACTTAAAACCAATAACTAACAATAAATTTATGTACTTAGACAGTTGTATGTATGCCTTTAAAGAAATTATCAAAGCATATAGAAAGACTAGTAAAAATTTGTAAGTGTCCAAGTAAGTGATTAAGCGAAGATAAAAGGAAATGGAGAAACTATTTAACGAATACATATAGACATGACTTATGCAGATATAGTTTATTGAAGAATCTGCTCTCCCTACGCCTTCTGCTCTTACCACGAATTACGCGTAAACACTAGGGGTCTTTAGTTAAATGCCCCGCAAGAATGGTTATTGCAACTAGAGTAGTACCAGACACATAGGGTATGCAGAAGAATGTGTCCCAATGGAAACATAGATAACAAGCATATTAATACAGATTTATTTGCAATCGTGCCTCATGATACAGACTTCTCACGTACGAACCCCCTTGGCAAAAAAGGTACTTAATCTTTACATATCCATGGCAAGAAAAGCACGAAAAAAGTTTTCAAAATATTGATCTTTATTTGATTTGCGAGTATTTCGTTCTGGATTAAAAAGACGAAAAATATTTTTTTATAAATAACCTGAAAGAAGTACTTCGCCTTCCTCGCCTGCTACCCTTTATACTTGGCTTTCGAATGTTGTTTTAAAAGTACTGGAGCTATGTGCTTCGATCCGTTTTGAAGAAAAATCTTTCGACAAAAGTGCGTTGAAGTCCGAGAAATGACTACGCCCACAACTATTATTAATTTTATATCAATTTTAATTTGCCTGAAAAGTATACAGTGACGCTACATCTTAAAAAGTTATGCATTAAAAGTAATTTTTTAATTTAAGGTTAAATTTCATTATATATTAGTGGATGTACTTATGTTTCCTGCTTAACTGCATCAGACTTTGCAGTGTGGGGTAGCGTTGCAGAGAAAAGGCAGCTGTGTTATCCTTTGCTCTTATTTTTTCATTTAATTTATAATATAATAAAACGCATACGTCGCTGCAAATAACATTGACTTTATCATTTTTTATTTTATTACTTGTACTCTTGAACATTATTCTTTCTTGGTTCACTTCGCAATGTAGAAATTCGCAATGTTCGGCAGCATAAAATTTTTGGAAAGATTGAATTATATAGTTGTCATCATGTTCGTATTTAAAAAGCATTCATTTCTCGTAAAGATATCATGACATAGTATTTATTAGTTAAAAATGTTAAACTTTTTTTTATTGGAGTAATAAAAAATCATTCACGTCTGCATAAACTTCTTCTTTAAATGTAAAAATTCAAGCTTTGATACCATGACACAATGTAAAATATTTCATATCTAATACGATCATTAGCTTTCCTTATGGTCTTTAATAATATAATATATTTTTCTTACATTTACTGGTCGATTTCAAAGCATTTTTTGTTATCGTTTTCAAGGGCATAAACGTTTTTAAGTTAAGCCTCTAAATAATTCTAAAATAAAGAAATAACATCTTTCGACGCTTCTGGGGATTCTTAGACTTTGATCTTAAAATTTCATTGTTATTGCTATGCATATCTCCTCCTTGCTTGCAATATGTTCAATTTCAACATGTCCGTCATAGAGTCTGCAAAGATTCTATGTCTTTTAATACCCATATAATCGCCACCGTAAAGTTTTGTGGATATGTCAATGACCCCAAACTAATTATTTTCCTGTTGGTTCATTCAAATTTTTAGATCGTTATAATATGTGTTTTGAGAAATAAGTCATTACTAAAAAATTATTGAAAGCTTGCAACTTGATACGTGAATAACCTTACAAACTGACGGACGGACTTAAAAGTAACAAAACCACCGCTTTCGGGTCTACATGTAATGTAAATGGCTTCAAATGGGGGAAAAGGGGGAAGATAAAGCAAATTTTATGTTTGCGCTCCTCTTCCTTGAGTGTAAAAAATCATGATAATAAAATTGAAATAATTTCGTCTCAAGCTGAACGATGTATATTTCCCATTTAAACAGTGGAACGTGAAGCAATTTGCAAAATATAATACCAAAAAAAAAAAAAAACCCTTTCCAAAATTCGAAGTTTCATATGCATAGCATCTAACCTCTACGGATATCTTTGAAAGTACCTGGCGAGCATAATATCAATAAAATGTGCAGCCTTATTAATATAAGTGGACAAACCATTTAGTCTATCTTTTTCTAAAAAATTGACCGGACAGTTCTAGTTGCTCACTCCATCATTCTATTTTAGTCCTGCACTTTATCTTATTTGATTTAAATAATATTACAATAATAATAATAAATGAATAAAAACAAGCGAAAGCTTTATCGTCGGCCACGGCCGGCCTTCAAATACCCAACACCACCTTGCTTCAGACACAGATAATTCGTAAAAGCATTTTTCAAAACAAGTCGTTACATGGGAAGTGTTCGAAAAAGTGTGTTCCAATCCGAACCATTTTCAATACCGTTCGTCCTTGGACCAGCGAATCGAATTTTTTCAAAATATCTCAAAAATTCTGATCTTTTGAGATAAGAATACAAGATAGACAGACGGACAGGCAGCCAGATAAGCTTAAATCGATTGAGGAAGCTATTGCATAAGTAATCCTGCATCAATTGGTATAATAAAAGATGGATCTATCTCAAGTCTTTCTGAGTGGTGTATGGTATGAAAAGAGAAAACAAAACTAATCCTTACTTTAAAAAATAAAACAAATAATGATGATAACCTTATATATACCGTTAGTTTAAAAAAAATATATATATATATTTTAAAAATCATGACATGACGAAGGAAAAAAAAATCGAATCATTTTTTATTGAGTTTTCTCATATAAGAAATACATTAGAAGAATTATGTTTGAATATAAGAAAATGATTTTATTGTTTTACACCTTAAAAACTTACAACATTTTTTCTACAAAATCACATATAAACTTATTACTAACGTACGAAAGAAAACACTTTTTTTTACATGCTTTTAATATTTCAAATGATTTTAATTTCATTTTATAGATTTTTCATTACGCATTTAATGACTTTAACCATTTGTTTTTAATGGCTTGTCTTCTTTTTTTTTTTTTTTGTGTTTTGAATGTTGTATACCATGCTTCGATACCCCGTTAAAATGCCGCGAAAATTGTAAACATCAAATGTATCATAAGGTATCACAAAAGCGCCAGCGGAGGATCACGGCGTTCTCATTATAACAACACTTCTCGTCGTCTCGTTCCTAATTTGTCTCCTATGCACACTTTATCACTCCAGAAGAAAACGTAGACATCAATTGAGACAATTGGGTCTACATCGTAATCCTCATTATGATTCGCAAACGAGCGCTACAGGTATGAATCGTATGAAATTATATTCAAAAATCCTAAAAGCACACTAAACACTTTATTGAACTGGCTAAAAATAATGTTAGCATAGCGTCTCAGTATCTTTCAATTACACAATTATGTTAGGTTTGGCAAACACTTGCAAAGCATAACAATAGATATCTGAGATTTTCTAAATGATATTTAATTCCTCACCAATAATGATAGCGAAGTCAATTTACATATATCTGCCTGTCTGTCCGACTACTAATGAATCATCTATCTCAAGATCATTATCTAAGAAAGTGAACTCCGTGTTTTAGATTCTATATTATTACTCTCATCAAGTTCACTTCAAAAATCAGCGCAGTTCATCAAGAAGCCGCGTACATAACGAAGACTTATAAATGATTTCTGACTTTTATCGAAATTGCGGTCGGAGTAGTGGACATTTAAGTCTTTAAATAAGGTCAAGTATGTAAGCTTAGCCTTTATTTTCGATAGATACTTACTGGATACTGCTTAGTCGCACAAAAGCTCTAGAAAATATCGTAGAAATGTTCAATGATAAGCATAATATATAAAGTGGAGGGATATTCGTTTTACTTGACGTGCAAGCATCAGTTCGTACCTATAGGGAGGATGCTGGGGATATGGGGATTCTGTCATTTCCATCAAATTCACTTGATGCCAAAAGACATATCTTATGGAATCCTATTCGCAAGATTTTTTACTTTCCCTTTGGTAAGCTGTAGTGTAGTGAGTTCTTCAGTGTTAAAGAAGGGATAGTGTTGTAACTATTCAAGGCTTTTCAAAAATTGACTGAGAAAATGTCGCTTTCTATAAAATCGAGAAAATCTACCTTTTTTAAAGAGAGAGAATATCAAAGAAGTTTACCATAAAATATTACCAAATAAATTTCTCTCTGGTTTTTTTCTTGACTACGCCCAATTTATTTTATATTTCGTTTTTTTATAAACCGCAAAATATAGCGCCCCTCACTTGGTGTAGCTCTTTAGATGAACGTAATTAGATTTTTGCCAGATATTTCAAACGCGAAATGAAGGATCTTTGTAGTAAAGACTGCTTTAGATCAGGTTTTTGCATAACGTTTTCGTAACATTCGCTCCATAAATGCGACAAATTTTCTTATTTTACATAAAATGTTTGAAAAACAATTTTTTTGTGGAAATTTATTTCATTTACTTAAGGCTTAAGTTCAAGTCGTCGTCATTTACAAAGCGGTGGAGCGAGTATAGCCGGCAGCTTGCATGGCATTAACAGCGGTAATCTCATTATACCACCAGCACCATTACCACCAACTAGTGTACCACCACAACCACCACATATTTGCATTTCAGGCTCAAGTCTTGATTTGACACCGGGTGCCGGTTATCCGGGTATCATGATCAATGATGGCCTCGATGATCTCGAATTGGACGATGACGATGACGATGATGATATACAACCAGATATTTTCATAAACGATGTACGCTTCGACGAGGAAAGCTTGCAACATGTGCAACAATTGGAAAATGTTTAACGTTTACCAAAATTTATCGCCAATTATTTGAAGCGGTATCTAATGAGATTATAAACGCATATATTCATTTCAACACTAAAAGGAATTTAAAAAGAAAACAACAAAATAATAACAAAAACAAAAACGAAAATTTCAATAAAACATTAACTAAAGAAAATTCTCATACGAAACGCATTAGCATTAGAGTCGAATTAGTGAACTAAAGACAAAAGACATTAATTTCAGTCAAAAATGAAGTGAATTGATGTAATTTGTTTTTTTTTTTTTTCTTTTTTTACATTATAATTTTCTTGTTTTTTTTTTTCAAAGCCAGCAACAAACATACGATAAATCGAAATTTTTAAATAATTTATCAATTTTAGCTGAGATTAAGAGAAAAGACGAAAATAAATAAAAACAAACATAAGGAAATCATTCAAAAGTTAACAAAAAATTACCCAAAAGACAAATTAAAAATTAATAGATTGCATAGAGATTCTTATATAGGATTTAAGATTTAAAAAAAAAAAAAAAGTTGAAGAAATAATAATAATAATAATAATAATAATTTAATTATTATATATATAAACAAAGAGAAAAGCAAAAAAAAATTTTTATTTTCGCCGTAGGGCGAATCCTTGGGGACCCGCCACCTTGACTATGTATCTTATAAGCGTATCCATTTTTTCTTAATTGTGTGGGCGTGTTAGTTGGCTGACCGGTATTGTCCTTGCATTAAGGATTTATAATCATCATCATCATCATCCGCCTAATGCGCTTCAAACTTGATGAGAGTCAACTAGAGTCTCTATCTTTCCTTTTTTTTTTTAGAGACATGAAATAAAAAGTTTGGCCGTTGGATGGATACACAAACAAATAGACGAAAAGTCAAAAGAATGAATTGATAAACGAATCGCCGGAATATGCGTGCGGACAGACGGAAAAAGAAACGAACTGATGACGAAATGAATTTCATATATGATGAAGAAGACAAATAACTTTTTTAGGAACTCTATGACATATTTCTGGTTATTACCAAAAGTAATGACGGAACTGATTTATTTCCATTTTTTGTTGGTGGGTACAAACAAAATAATAAAAACTCTCATCAGTGAAGTTTTCTGATTAAAATTAAACAAAAAAAAACAAAAACAAAAATTCTAAAAAATAATTTAAACTAAAACAACAAAAAAATACGTATTAAAAAAACTTTACTGAAATGCTAAAAGAATGCGAAGAGCAAATTATAAAAAAAATAAAAATAATTCCAAACATATTAAATATTTTCATTGCATAATGAATTTAAAAAATAATTAAATAATAATGTTGTTGATTTTTATATTTGATACGAATAATATTCTATATAAATATATACATTTAGGAAATAAAATTTAAAAAAAAAATTAATATAATGTCTTAGGTAAATGATAAAAACAAAAAGAGAAAAACTAAAAATCACATATATATTAAAAGTAAAAATAACTTGACAAAATTGTATTCATTTTCTTAAGTTTTTTATTTGGCAAAAAATTTTTAAACTACAGTTTACGTAAACTCTTTCTTTCAAACGATTTCCTTCTTGACTTGTCTTGTTCCTTGGGAGCCAATAATGTCTCAAAAGAAACCCTAATAACTTTGCTATAGAATGGGTAAAGGATATGCGAAGCACGCATGTTAACGCAAGATCAGGCGAATGAATATATAAAAATTTCAATATGCTTTAGTAGCAAAGCGTATAATGGAGAATGAATCAGGAATCTGGTTAATAACTTATAGTACTTTCAGATTGGCATCTGATCCACGTTGTAAACTAAACGCTGAGTTCCATCTGAATATTTCGTCTCATTCATTTCATGCAATATGCATAACGATGAAAAGATGCCAAACTTAGGTCTGTCCATTAATGGGGGATTATTTTATTGAAATTCAATGCAAGTTCCATTCAACGTTCATTTATTCATTCATTCATTTCATTAGGAATGAAATGTCTATGTCTAACAAAAAATTGAAGGAAAAGTTGAGATGACGTATGTCTCGGTATGAGATTCTTTTTCATTCTTATTACATCTACTCTACGGTGTAAAACTTCACATTACATAAGCCTAATACACCTTTTGCATGGTCGCATTACACTATCCTATACTCTCTACTTTAAAAAGGACTTTTTAAATTAATTTGCCTATGATTTCAAGTTTGCTAGAAGTTAGATAGATACCTATAGATCGTAGTCTTCGTCTTTAGATCCAATTAAGTAACAGCTGTAGGGAAAATTTTGATGACAATCTACCAGAGATGGATTATAAAAAAAGTGGTTTTGCTTTTAAAAATCTAAACATATTTTCTTCACCACTTGCTCGTTTATGTTCGGGTAGTTAGTTAGTCGTGGCGTAAAGATTTGGCAAATTACAATTTATAGGTTTTAAGACAATTTGACGAAATTTTCTTCTGGGTGGAAATGTTTACTTTTAACACTGGGACCGATTAAATTATTTTTATCATTTTCTCTTGCTTTAATAAGCAAAAAATTTTCCAAAATTGATATCAATTTCATCATAAGGATTTTGTCTTCTTTTCAATTTAATATGCAATGCATGTGCAACTAAATGATTTAGAAATCTTTTTAAAATTTTTAAAAAGCTATTAAGATACAGAAAAAAGAAAAAATAAAATATATATATATATATATATATATATATATAAAATTCGAAATAAAATAATAAAATAAAGATACAATGATAAGAGAATAAATTAGTGACTATCACAGAAATGCATCTTCCAAAACCCAAACATAATATAGAAATAAAAATTGAAATCCATTCACATATATGGACATTGAAAAGGAAAAGGAAACTATTTAAAAAAACAAAGAAAAAATGAAAAAAAAAAACACAAATAATAAAATATAACCATCATTACGATATTCCAGTAAACGGGCTTGTAAAACACACCTATATAACAATATAAATTTAGGAGTTTTCCTCTTTTTTTTTTTATGATTACTTTACTTTCTCTTCTTACTACACCAGATTATAACTATCTTTAAAACTTGCAATAAATTCTGCTGAAATTTCAGTAAAACAATCGTTATGATAAGATGTAGTGTCATATCTTTTTAAATCAAGACTTTCATCGTTTCGAGTAACTCGATCACTTATTTCGAAATTTTTCAAAAACATCTATATAAGCTTTAATTTAAATTATTCGGACGTTAGGCAAAAGCATCTTTGAGGTGAAAGCAGGTAAAGACTAATGCTTTACCTATGAGTGAAAAATTAATTAGGCATTTGTTAATTGAGACCCAGTCAATTCTGAGCCCATTTTTTTATAAAGTCATACCTTTGCATCAAAAGCTATGCGAAACACTATGCAATGTATATTTTGCACTCTTCGACACGTTTCAAGGCAACCGTACAAGTCTCTTCCTTTTTTTTTTTTTAGGAGCATTAATAGGACTTTTTCTCGCAATCATCGAACGACGTTCAATATTTGATAATTAAAAGTTCTCAACTCCGTAGAATCATAGCAGCAGATATTAGTTTAACAATTTTTTAAAAAATTTGTTTAGAAATTAATTCTACAATCTCTCGTTTGCCTATAACGTTTGCCAAAATATTTTTAAACAAAGAATTCCAAACTTTCCTTGTTGACGACTTTAAATACATTTGTCTTTTCACGTAGGTAAAGCTCGAGTCAACTTTGTTAAGGACCTTGATTGATTATCGTTTGTTTATTGCGTGTCCCGCATTATCCTACTCTTGTGTTGTTCAGAAAGTCACTTTGGTTTTTCCCCGGCCCTGGATTTAATTGCATTTTTTTCACAGTCAAGTGTACACCTGAGCCGTATTTTCATAACATATTTTAATATCTCATATAGGAAACCTTATTTGTGAAAAAGTTCGATTGACTCAAGCCGGTACTTTTCGTTTGTTGCCCCTTCAAATATAAAAAGTGAAAAACAACATTTACACCGTATTTTCTTTTTTTAGTATCGAAAGGGTACAAAAAAATTATGCGATTTGTATGGAGGGGATATATTGACAGTACGTGAGTGCCGAAATTGGTTTACAAGATTTCTTTCCAACAATTTTGATATTGAAGATGTATCGGCTTCTAGAAATTCACTTGCAGGTGATGAAGACAAAATGAAAGGATTAACTGATGAAAGGAAGCCGATGAATAACAATTCGTAAGATCGCTGAGAGATTAAATTTATAGCCTTCGACCGTTTATCCGTTTAATGGTTTTTCGTTTTGACATTTGAAAAAGAAAAACGAAATGACTTTCTGAACAACCTAACAAATCATCGATAGTTAAGAAATATTATTTTTCTTAAGATTTAAATGAAGCTCTGACAATTATTGTTGGCAATGTCCCGGGTTGGTGAACGACGTTTGCATTTTAAATGTTTAGTAACTATTGCACATTCATCCTAAGCGACTTACTATTAAATGTGTATTCTTTCAGTCACTAACAATGACAATCTTCTTTTCTTAAAATGTAAGTTTTACTCGAGCTACCAATGTCGACAAATTTGAATGTTTCAAAATAACGATACTTGGTCGTCAAACTTCCAGCATTCTACTAAACTATAGGAGAGGTTAACACTAACTTTGTGATCGTCTCTTTTTCCCTTACAGATGCGTTTGAAAAGGTCGCGATCAAATTTTTTGCTCCAGATTTGAAAAGAAAAAATTCTTTTTGAAACAATTTTCAAATGACTTCAATGATTCAATGATTTTTCGTCGTTCATATTGACATGAGATACTCTATTCGTTCTAAAGCGTGTACAACTTTCTTATTATTTTGATAATTATTGTGATTTTAAATTTAAAGCAAGTAAATATTAAATAAGAACCCAATTAAAATCGGAACTTTAAACAGAAAAAAATAAAAAAAAAAAACAAAAAAAAAATAAGATTAAATTAAAAAGTAGCTAAAATCTTTGAAAGCAAAAGAAGAACGGATATAGTCGTAATACTCTTCAAATGTTGGTAGAAATAATATAAATGAAATTTAATAAAACACAATCATTTTTGTTTTTTTTTTTTTTTTTAAATATAACTTTTTTTTAAGATCTAATTTTAAAAACTAATAACGATAAAAATTAACACTTTTTTTTATTTTTTTTTTTTTATATAAACCCTTAAGCCCCTTTCGTTTTTTTTATTATTTAATAAATTGAAAAAGCAAAAACAAAAAGTTATGGGTTTCAGCACGTACGTTTTGCAATAAAATTTAATATTAAGTAAAATCAAATAAATGAAAATAAAAAAAATAAAAAATCGAAAAGAAAGAAAAAATGGTTAAAGTTGTTGTTGAAAAAAATATATATAAAAAACAAAAAAAACCAATAATAATAAAGCATTAAATTTAATTTACAAAAAAAAACACACACACACACACACACACACACACACGCAAACACCTCCACATACAATTTCAATTTCATCTATAAAACGTAAAAGAAAAACACAACAATTATGACTTCCCTTCTGTCTCAGTTGCCATACACGGAGTATTAAATTATAAAAAACGAAATTTTAATTTTACCATAAAAATTTACAATGATGTATCATCTTAGGAAAGAAAAAGAAAAAAAAAAAAAAAAAAGAAAACTTCTTGTAGGAAATTTTTAAGATAAGCAAAAAAAATAAATTAAAAATAAAAAAATTAATAAAAAAATTTTAAATAAATCGATAAAATGCAAAAAGTAAAAAAAACATTTTTTGAAAACATTAATAAACAAGAAAATGTAAAACGGAATTAAATTAAAAATTCTAACAGTAATTAATCTAATAATTAAACGTAAAAAGCGTAAAAATAAAATCATAAAAACGAAAATGAAAATAAAAATAAAAATAGAAAGAAAAAGAAATTTCCCCACAAATGATTTCATGTTAACATAAATAACAAATTAATCACATTAAAAATGAAAAATTAAAAAATAAAAGCAAAAACAAAAAAACCAAAAACTACAGAGAAAAAAATATGATTTCAAGCTAAACTCGCTGGAATGTTTTTAAATTCAATTGATTACAGGTTTGTAACCACATTTAACAAACACGCAAACATATTTAAAGCAAAAATTATATTGATTTTCTAGCTACAGGATGCCAGAAATATGTTACACGTTTCTTTCCTTCTAAATACGGCTTATCTCTCCTTTGACCTAAAATTGCACGCTTTTCCTGCAAAATAATAGCGCATCAAACGATATTCGAGAATTAGGTCGATCACAGTCTATATGTCAGCCGCCAATTGCCAGAAATTAATGATAAGTTCGTCCTTCTTCTGAGCAGTAGCGGTAGTAGCAGTAGCAGAAGCGTTCCTAATTTCAAATTTCAAACACAGTCTTAACTTTCCTCCTAATAAATAAAATTCGCGAATTTGAACTAAAGCTAAATCGATTGAACGTTAAGGAGGAGTATGTGCAAGTTAAGGTTATTGTAATGCATAAAGCGATTTGCCAGACTGAACAGAAAAAAGTTTTGAATTATTGGAGAAAATTTTGTTGAGTTTGTTTTTATTAAATCAAATATGTGACATTTTGATCAAAAATCTCTCTTCACATTTTTCTGATAAAAGCGTTGCGCCATTATCACACAAATTTGGAAGTCTTTTGCGCGAAATACAGAAACAAATGATTTCTATAAGCATCCTTTGAGATCAATTTTCTACTCCATTGACTATACGAACGTTGGTCCAATGGGGCAAGATCCAGATTATACATTGTAAGCATTCCAAGTTAATTTCTTCACATTCGTGCAGAATCATTAATGAATATCATGTGTGTATGTGTTTTGTTTTGAAGTGAGAAACCATCGAAAGGCACCCACTAGGGGTAGTGCGAAACTTTAACCCGCTAAAAACCACCTATACCACTATTCCTTAGCCTGTGGCACGATCGCTTTAGTATATCTTCGCAGGGAGGATAGACTCTACTGCAGAGGCATCACATAAAAGGCTACATTAACAGTTCTCGTTTCGTTGTTCTCTCATTACGTTTGCGACAGATCGCGCAACATATTTGTCGCGAAATTGTTCGGGAGAGGAAACTCTTCCATTTCCGTCTGTAGTATCAGTCGTTTATGGTCTTTCAAAGAGACATTAAAAACGTATTCACTCTTGTCGAGGCAGTTTCAAAAACTTCAGCGTGGGCCGTGTTCTATTTTATACCTATGTAAGTAATTTCTAAAACAACTATGGCCGCCCATTAATTGCGTTAAATAAAAGTAAACAGCATCATGCTGCGTATTGAATCAGGGCCGCAGATCTGTTATGAGCCGGTGCGCCCACCTACCTCTACTCGCCCTGCTCCAGCAATCTTGCCATTCTTCCATCAGTAGACCTTTTGCACGCCAGTTACCCGCATCAGTCAATAATCTGTGAAATTCGGCTCTACTCATATACTAGCGATAACCAACGCCACACTATGTCCGGCACAAACTTTTTCCGAACGGAAGACCCGCGTAGCAACGTCGCTGTCACCACTTCTGCCATCAGCTTTCTATGGTCTTTCGTAAGGCCCCGTGTGTTCGGTGATAAGCGAGCAAGGCTAAAGATGCAAATATAATTCTGCCAATCGCGACTCGCCATACCACTACGTGTACAGTTTTGAGAATAACCCAGGTTAACTGCCCTCGGCTCGTTCCTGGAAATTTTAATAAATGCTGCTGAATTCCAAACACGTCGTGACCAACGATTAATTCTTTGTGCGATTTCTTCACGAACTAATAAAGCCGTTATCACGAGCTAATTATTTTTATCCATATGGGGCCCTCCAGATCAATGGTGAAGCTCGATAAGTCAGTTTTTCTTGATATAAAAGCAATAATGTTTATTGTTGCAAGTGTACAGCTTTATTTAAACATATTGTTGGTTGATTATCTTTTTTATTTGTTATAGGAGGCAAAAAAAAATTGCCTCCTATCCAATATCGTGATATTATATAATATCGGAACTGAAAGGTGAAAGGGCTTTTATATATTACCAGGGTATTAGTAATAGATGGGTTACTTTTGGGTTAATTTTTAGACTGTCTTAAGTCGTTTTTTTACCCGCGAGAACAGCGGAGCTAGATCAGGTTGCGGAAAGATAAGAGCTGAACTGTTGGTAAACAAAAAAAAATTTCGATGAAACAATGCAAAGTCGGCAGATGCAGCATACTGATGCAAAAACCAAGGTGGTACAAGCTTCCAGTCAAACGGCGTTTGGACCACGACAATCAGAGAAAAGCTACTCTTATTCATTAGCGAGCATAATAGTGAGTCCGGCTTTATTGAAAGTTAAGGCAAGATTAACTTAAATTTGACTTGTGGAGAGAAATTATACGTAAGGGTTAGTCTTTGCCTACATTTTCTAAATCGTTGCATATTCGTTCTAAGTAAGTTTTCCAAATAATTAAAGCTTATTTTTTTTTATACACTTTTAAAATTTTTTTAATTATTTACCAAGAATTCACGCAAAAGTAAAAAAAAAAACAAAAATTAAAAGATTTTAAATATACTTATACGTCTATACATATATTCATAGACGTATCTAGCATTGGTTTTCGTAACACTCACTAAAACAAATGAAAAGATTTTAATTAAAAAAAAATAAAAAAAATTTCATTCCGTTTTTAAATTCAAACGAAATTTCTCCAATAGTTGATGAAAAGCTTCCTCGTCTCCCTCTACTTGAGCTTTATTCTAAAAAATCAAAAATCAGCAAACGATGTAATTATTTCATTTATTTATTATTTAATTCCATTAAATACCTCAGCCAAGAGCTGATCAAACGTGGTCTGCTTGCATCCAATTTTAAAAAAGTCTTCATCGCTAACCTTAATTTTAGTGTCGGCGTTATCCGTTGTACCCTCGTAGATGTTCAACTCTTTAAAATCAAAAACTAGCAAATATAACCATTTTTTTTTTTACCAAATTTTTGTTTTTGCCAATGGCAGAGAAGGTCTTACGTACCCATACTTTTAATCAATTTGCCTTCGGCATCGGTAAAATTAAATTGAAATATATTCATGCAGGTGCGTTTAGAAGGATCGGATTCTTTAAGTTTATTACGTATTTTCTCAATGATTTCATCGCTTTGCATATTCAATTCAAAAATATGAACAAAAAAAAAAAAACCGATAAAATTCTATTAAGTATTTTACTCGTGTAACACGTTTGTTCGGTTTGATTGATAGCATTTAACTGAAGATTAAGATCTTGTACAAACCGAGCTCGATAACTTGTGGATTACATCGCCCACACTTGTATTTACGCAAAATGACAGATTATATTATATCTTCTTATATATATATTTATCGCTAAGAAATGCTGGTCTACTAATTTAGTTGTTCATTTTATAATATCGGGACATTTGCATGAAAGCTATAAGTAATATATATATATATATATATTGCAAAAAAATAATAAATTCAATATAATTGTATATCCGAAGTATTCAGATCCTTGCGCGACTTGCATTGCTTATGATCGAATGTTGAAATTTTCCAAACATTTTCTTCAATTCACGACTATCGGCCCGATTCTCTCTCCTGAACAAACTCGGAATAAAAAAAAGAAAAAAATTTCAAAGCCTTACTAACAGCATGGCAGTGTCTAACCTTTCTTAAATGAATTTGCGAAAAGCTTTTAAAACTGCAACATAAATATGATTCCTACAGAGATGCTGCTGATAATTGGCAAACTGCTTGAGAAAAGCTTATAATTTTGGTATACTCTACTCGTAGGGGATATGTAAGATTCATTGTAAATTTAATTTCTTTTTCTTGTAGTTTTCATTCATTCGGTTTTTTTTTCATTATTTTCAGTATTTCCTTTTTCTTTTTTTTTTTTCTCTCTCTCTTTTTGGTTACCGCCATGTTTTGCATAATTTTTAATTAAAATCAATTTGTAAAGATTATTGAAAGTTATATGCCCGTTGTCTATCAATGAATAGATGTACTACTATTACTGCGTACGTACGTACATACGTACACATACGTACTGATGCTATGATTGACAATGGGAAACTTACTAACGTCAATCGTATGCAAATGATTTTACATTTCGTAAATGGAAAGTCAAACGAATGAAAATTAAATCAAATTGATTCATTACTGCAAAAATGTTTTTTTTTTTTATAGAAATTTTTGAATATTATACGATACGATATTATATGATTATATTAAAAAAAACGTAAAAATTTAAATCTAAATTTATGGTTTCCATAGTTTTAATAGGCCATCTTCACCATACGTTGCTAATAAATTTTGATGTGGATGATGAGTCAAGCCAATGACGTCTTTCTCATGAACCTAAATTATAGCAATTATATTACGACGTAGCAAAAATAAAACACATCAATAAATATTATTGATCTTACATTTAAAGTTCTTTCCAATTTTCCTGATGAAACGGAAAAACAATACAATACTTGATCCTCACCGGCGCAGTAAATGAATTCACCACGTGGTGATAAAGTTGCTGATATAAATGCACCACCTTCTCTTTTACCCGATGAGAATGATCTTACAATTTGACCGGCCATATTCATTATGACGACAGTATTTGAACGATTGCAGACTATATAATGATCGGGATTTTTCGGCAATATCAGCACAGTATTGACAGCCAATTCATTACCGAGAGGCTTATAGGTAGATAAGCATTCCGTAGTCTTTAAGGACCATATTTTCACAGTGCCGTCCGATGAAGCGCTTAATATGCTGTGACCATCGGGTGTAAAAGTAGCCTCATTCACAAAAGACGTATGACCTTTGAATTCTTTTAACATTTTACCCGACTTTAAACCATGCAGATGTAAGGTATAATCGAAGGAAGCGCTTAATATTTGACTATTGTCACGTGAAAATTGCAAACATGTTATGCCTTTTGTGTGAGCTTTTTCGAATTTTCTTAAACATTGCCCAGTTATAATACGCCACACTTTTATTTGGCCATCCTGGGAGCCAGATGCCACCATTTCGGAATCTCTCGAAAATGATAAAGCCAAAACCGCCTGCTCCATCATCATAAATTGATCCTGCGCCTGATATTTTAAATCTTTTCTAATCTTTCCTGTTGTAAAATTCCACACTTCCAAAAAGCCATCAACGCTGCCCGTTATCAGATATTGTCCATCAGGCGAAAATTGGGCACATTCAACATGCGATTTTTGTCCGAATTTAATTTGACGATACATTTGTGTAGGATACATTTCTTCTTCTTGATCTTTCATCGCCGCTTTGCCGCGGAATAAATCTATTGTGGTGCCAGGTGGTAATAAGCCCTGATGTTGTTGCCATTTCAATGCTTGACCCAATAAAGCCAAAAGGCGAGAAGACGGTACCACGTGAACTTCACCACTCAACTCTTGAGCAATGATTGCACGTCGTTTATCCTTGCTACTACCTTCTGGATAAGCTTCACGAGGATCGAAATAAGCCCGCTGCAGCATATTTTCTAAGAAAGAATAAAATCAATAGAATCGAAGGAGATAAAAAAGAAACTTTTCGTATATCTTTTTATCAAAAGCTCTTACGCTCGACTGTCAATTTCTATTATCTCATACTCCTGAAAAACATTTTTTAACCTATGACCATACTTCGGCTCTAACTCAAGTACTTGAACCATTCTCTTTAAAAATGCCTTTTAACCTGCGACCATGCTTTAGTTCTTACCCAAATGTATGTACCGTTCGGGTTCGTGTTGCTTCAGCATAATCATTGGATCGGTTTGCCTTAATAACGAACGCGCAGCACCTAATTCCCGCAATTCAATCAATTCCAATACAATTTGTTCATATAAATTTAATAATTTTTTATCCGGCAATTTAAGCGATTGCGTTACTTTTAAAACCGTATCCCAATGGCCATTTGTTATATCCTGAACAAAGCCATCAACGCTGTCTACGGTATTTAAAGATACGCCAGTTTCCTCTTGTAAACTTTGCAAGCTCTTATATAAATTAGACTCCTTGAGGTATTGTTGTATTAAACGAATAACACTGGAAGCATCAATAATCATAAATAAACATAAATACATCGGGAATACGAATGCATTAATTTAATTTTTCTTTAGTAAAACTTACTCAGCTGATTCTATCTCAATAGACATGTTATTAAATGAATGTCTTATTTACTTGCAATGGAAAGATTTCTTCATACACTTCTTCCTTTTTAAATTCTCTTAAGATTAGATGGAGCTAGTTGTTAAAATGATTATGCAGTTCCTTCTTAAAATATGTAATGCCTTGCCCTCAACGCCGAAAAAAACAAAATTTTTGTTTATTTGTTTCTTTATTTTATATAGCATGGATTACATTAACGAATAATTTACTTTTTGCATTGCCAGGGTATCCCATAGCCGGCATAGATTTCAATTAAATTTATTCTGGCAGAGTAGCTTTGGCAAAAGATTGCTGCAGTGGTGTTGTGTTTTTAAGTTCAATCATATGGTTCATTTATACGCCAGAGATGTTTTCTGAACAATAGAGTAGGTAAAGCGGTATTTTCAATATTATTATGATTGAATTAAAAACTAATATTAATATGTGGAATGAATGATAAAATTGTGATTTGAAAAGTTAAAAAATATATATATATAAAAAAGAAATGGAATTTTCGGGTTTATTAAGTTAATGCAGTCGAATGTAACATGCAGAAGGGTTTAAAATAACATACAACATACGTCACTCTGCCAAATTTCATCGAAAAACTCATAAAATTGCGACCTGTAGGTTAAACACAAATTTACGTGTATAGTTATCAGAAGGACAGACAGGGTTAGACCAATTCAGATTATGATTTTGAATCGATCCGTATAATAAAACCTGGGCCTATCTTAAGCCCTTCTGCGTATTGTATACGTCTGTACTCAGTAAAAACTAAACGTTTTGTGGTTTTAGCTTTGTGTAAACTCACACACAACTTTACTCGTACGAGACTAAATAGAAAACTAAAGATTGTGTTGATACATCTCTGTGAAAATGCACATACAACCTTAATCAAAGCATTGCTGAGTTATTGCAATAACAAAACTCATGTGAAAATGGCTGACAATGGAATTACGGTTAGAGCGGGTGTGTCAAATATTTGAAATATTTTTAATGAAACAACAACAAAAATACAAGACAAAATTTGCTTTCTCGATCGATTCTGTTGGCCTGGTAATTCATTTTGGTTTATATGAAGAATTTTAGGTAAAATTTTGTTCGCGTTGGGTGTGCGTCCACATATGCTTTTTTCGTTTATAACTCAGGAACGGAAGCGTTGATTTAGATGCGGTTTTTTGCAAATGGTTAAGCGCAGCCTGAGGTTTCGTATAGCAAAAAATGGAAAAACATAGGCGATCCTTGGCTGAGAAAACTTTATCGATCCGGAGAATGGCACTTGTATGGTGACATTAAAGTCTAATTTTTATGAAAACTCAAAGGAATAAGGTACTGAAGGTCAATAAGCTTGCTTTAAAAACATCTTGAGACACCTACCTTGGCTTTAACCTTCTACTGACCCCGTCATAAATAAGTTTCACTTTTTTACATTAAGAAAAACATCAACAGTATTTATTAAAAGATACACAAAACCAATTTGATACATATAAAAGGGAAAAAACTTCATTTATAAACAAATTTTCATAATTTACATTAAATTAAAGTCACATCCAGCCCAGGGAAAAGTTTTTATTGACGTGCCATTTTCTGTCAATATGTCAGCTTAATGTTGTAAAAGACTACTAAGAAGTACATAAGAGACTGAAATGATATTATTTGTTGCTGGAATATGAACTTGTTTCATAACACTATTTAGGGGAAAATTTAAATGGCATGCATGCCTCTTTCTGAAGAAATATATTGGCATTGTTTTAATTTGTATGTCCAGATATGGACTACAACATAATTATATTGTTAAAAACTTCCTTGGAGAAAATTTAATAGACGAAACTTTGTCGCTATTTAAACAAAATTTAACTACTAAATTTTAATAATTAGCAAGTTGTGGAAGTAAACGAATAAACGAATAGTAGATTTTTATCAATTTAACTAAGAATTAACATTAAAAATTTTTAATAAAATATAGTAACGCACTTACACAAACTTCAAATAATACTTTAGAAACTATCGCGATTTTAACTGTTAACAGTGTTAATGTTGTTATTGATTATCTATAATAATATTACAGTTACTTCTTTACATTTTTTTAATATTTAATTATCTTTTTTCATTCTGGTGGAGGTCATGCGATAGATGATTGAATCGCGACCCGGATCCATAGAGCCGATTGCATAACAAATAGCCAGTAAAGAAAAGCCAAATGTAACCATAAGCCATAGGATTATATTAAATATAACTGGATAATCTTCGCTATAATACTCGGCTAAATTATATTTATTCTGAAATAATTAAAAAGAAAAATTAATTTATATTTGATGGAACTAGGAGTGTACACAAACCTTGTCTTCTTCTGTCGTAGCCTGACGTTTGGCTCTCGTGTTGTCAGTTTTCTTAACAATACCCAAAACTAGAGTTCCTTTATTACTACATTTTTCAGCAGCATTGTTAACGTTTTTAGCCACAGTGGCAAACATATCTAAAGCCTCAATCGTAGCTACTGATTTCTCACCATGTCCTTTTGCAATCGAATCCACAGAAAGGCTTATAGACAGCAATTTGCACTTGTTCAAAAGTGTATTCATATTATCTGCCATAGCATTAATATAAGCAATACTTGATAAATATTGCTTGTCGCCGATATGAAGCTCCGGCTTTAAGTATATAGATGAAACTGACTTAACTTCAACATTGCCGAGGAGAGCATTGAAATTTTCTATCTAAAAAGATGTAGAGAAAATATAGTTATTTTTAAAAAAATCAGCGCTCTTTAAAAACACAAGGGTTTTACACTTAAAATGGGGACTTTTCGAGAAAATTCCAATTGTCTGGCAAGCTTTCTTCTAGCTTCGCGGAACTTATAACAAACAGTATGGCTATTGGACATGCTATTCGTAAGCTCTCATAACTGACACTAAGTCCACTGTCGAAATAATCTCTAATATATAAAAACAAAACCTGTTCATCAGTCATTGAACTGCATATTATTTGGGTATCAAGCCTTTCCTCTCTACAAACGCTTTTCACTCTACGAAAAAGCTAACGGTCTATCCAAAGAAGGAATAACTGATACTTAAGCCTTAACGTTTGTAAAAAACTCTCCTCTTGAGGTATGAGATAATGAAGAATGATCGCGCTTTATATCAGCTCTTTCCAAAGATAAACTCTTTATCATGAATTTCTGTGAACAAGTATTTAGAGCTTGTTCATTCATTCGATATAAAAATATGCCTTTTATCTTCCGGCTTCAAAGAGATTTAAAACTCCTTTTTTTCATCTTTAAGTCAAAATTTAAGTGAAATTAAAAAATTTGAATACTTACCGCCTCTTCAAAGTTTTCGAAATTCATAACACAAACTGATTCATTATCAGCCTCCAACTGGTCAGCGACAGCATTTAGTGAATCCTCAACTCTGTGACCTTCTAATTGGTAAGTTTTTTCGCCAGACAATTTGCTACTGGTTACTCCATCCAGCCTAATAGTTATTACATTTGTTGGTAAATTAAAAGGATCCAAAATATTCAAGCACGGCCATTTAGCGTCCCCAGATAATCCATTGCCCAAAGAGGCATATATAACATCACCTAAATCCTCAGAAGAAATTGGTTCTGTGCCCTTAAAATTCAATGACTTGGGGCTATTTAGTATAACAAATTCACCGAACGCGTTAGCTGCAAAAGTGCGTGAAAAAACTTTACTTATTCTCAATTTCTCAGGTATTTAATGGTTCGATATGACAAATCAATTATTGTTGTTCCAGCAAAAGCAATTCTTCTCATTTCTTTTACCATATTGATTTTTTATGATCGAGTTATACTTACTTGCGGCAATGCAAATCAGAAAAATTAACAAATTTTCTAGCATTTTTTAAAACTATTCTAATTTTTTTTCACGGATTGAAATTTTCTGCTTTTATCAAAAATTGATCATATGACAAACGGTTACAGATGACAGCTTTATCTAATACTTATCGATATTAACGATGGCACAATAAAAATGTTGTCACAAGTTTCTTCAATTATTTTAGTTACAAACGATGTAAAAACTTTGCGTTTTCATTTAAATGCAAAAGAATTACAGATTTGCCTGAATTTCTAATTTAATTGGCTATTTACAGGATTCCATCAATTCCAAAATTGCCCTTAGTGACAAAATTGCACCGTAATACATATTGTCTGCGACTTCTCTTAAAATCTTACTAAACAGAATTTTGCAAATATAGTTTAGTGATAAGAACATTCTTTTCAAAAACGTATTGTATTCTTTTGTAGCATACCCAACGCGAACCCAGAAATTCCATGTAGTACTCATCTTCTTGCATAAAATCCTGACAGGGATTGTTCGATTGTTCTATGCCTTATTTGTTGCCAAATTCGATCTGCTCACAATCAAAGAAAGCATGATACAACCCGCAGCAAAACCAGAACTCTGTGCGTTTGTGCGGTCATCTAATCCTTTTGAACAGTCAGCTAGTGGGACGACTCAATAATTGACAAAATATTTTCTAATATATATTTATTGGTTTGACAGGAGAGATATCAAGTATAAAATAAAAACAGAGGTGTAATCAAGCAGATGAAAGTTAATTTTCGCTATTGTATTCAGTTGTTTGGGCCAAAAAACTACACTAGGTTGCCCTCAGCATTGTTGTATTTTTCTTCTTCTTTAATGAAATACATTGTTATTTGCACGGCTTTTATTTGTTTACTTATGTGACAATGATTAACGAAAGCATAAAGGATTTAATACAAAACTGCTTACTACCAGAATTAAAGGAAAATTTCGATTCTGCACTCATTAACAAGGAGTGTTTCAAATCCTACCATGAATGCTTACTTGTACAACTACCTGTAATTTTCGATTGGATGCATGAACAAGAGAAATGGTTATTTTCTAGTAACGAAAATGATCATGAAAAACAGGATGTACGCATGTAAATTCTCCTTTAACCTTCAACATATATTAATACTGATCCTTACCATTTCAGATTCAAGGTCAACTAATAATTTTGCTCAGTGAATTGTCCGGATTGTCCTCTTATGAAGCCATTTACAATTTGGATAGCAATTCGCAGCTCTTAACACATGTTGAAAGACTTTTAAATCGTTTCGAAATAAGAATGTCTGCTAAAGCGGAGGAAATTATTTTTAATTACTATAAAGACAAATTACACAAAGACAAATGGAAGAGAAATTTGGGAACAATCCACGGTTTTACGCGTTATTTAGAAGTATAAAGCTGAGTTTTTCTTAATTTCAGAAATATATAACAACTTGACGTTTTATTAGCATCGTTTTCAAGGTTCGTTTGGTATGACTCAACTATCCTTAAATTTTTCTTTAGCAGCAGCTTTAAATGTAAGAACTTGTCATGAGTCACACTACAAATATTTAAGTACAAAAATTTTCCACACTATGCTTGATCAAGGTGTAAGTTGTTCAAAATATCATTATATATTAATTCTAAACTAACGTATACCTTTTTACAGAACGCAAATGACATACGTAAAACGAATATACATAGCGTTATATACGATGCTGCACTAAAAGACATCTACATAATGGATTCTTTGCTCTTTGTGAAATCGTTATGGAACTGTTTATTGAAATGCTTAAATTTTTATTCCGAGATTGATAGTTTTACGGTAGATTTCCTTTTTTTCCTAATCTCTATCTAAATATACTAAAATTAATCATTAGTTTTGTTTTCTAGTGGAGTCAGGTGGACGATCTCTTAGAAGTGCTTATACGCAACGTTACTCTCGCACCTGATAGTTCAACTTCTTTACAATTAACAACGTTTATTAATAGGTTAATGGTGTACTTTGCCATTAATAATCGAGAACTCGAGGAAAAATTAAAAACCGACCTAACAAAAGTGAACTGTTTAAAAGATTGTCGTTTGTTATTTTCCCAAAACACAAGTTATACGTGTTACCGCTGGGCTAAAAGTATATTGCAAATGTTTATTTTGGAATCTCACAAGTTAAAGCAATCTCCAGACACCTCTTTAAAATTATTAAATGTATGTTGAAAATATTTTGATTGGTCTTCTTAATCCTATAGTTTCTATTTTAGGAATTACATCACTGCTATCTCGTTACGATCTTCCCCATAAATCTGTGCATTATAGAGTCTCACTTAGTCGAGTTCATGGAAAAATTTAATATTATTTTGATGGAAGTTGTTAGAATTCAGAAAGAAAATGAAACTGTCTTGAAGGTATGTTAAAGTGTTTTTCTTTCCTGCAATTCATTATTTTTTAGTGTGTTCGAAGGCTATCACGGACCTTTTGGAGACTTTTTATTTGCATTTGGAGAACTGCTCAAAATCTTCAAAATTGCTTAAGTATAAAAATGCGTATTGTGAACTTTTTAAACATCCGCCATTTCTCAGTTATGTCTCTGTAATATGATCATGTAAAACAAATTTATTTTGAAAGAAAACAACATAATAAAAATAAGAAATCATGAAATAATTTTTTTCCCCATTATTTACTCGCCAATATTCAATTCACTGCTTGGTGCATCCACATCGATGTTGAGACATTGATCAATAATGCATTCAGTCAAAACATTTTTTAATTGATCGGTTACGCTTTGTACATGACCTTCCAAAACTTGAGCTTTGCTGTCAAATTGATTTCTACCTCCGCCTCTAGCGGTGTTGGTTAAGTCTTCTTCATCTTCATAGCAAGTCTCCAATCGTTCAAAATCAAGCGTTTGATTAATGCGTTCCATTTCGGAACGCTGGCGAATCAGAAAATCTTGCACGGAATCTGAAGGACAATAATAAATAGAACAAAGCAATAATACTTTTCTGCTAGTAATTTTAAAAACCTAATCACCACCACAAAGTCATATAAGAAAATCGGGAAAATCAAGCAGACCTCATGTAAATTTCAGCACAACATATAAAAACGAACAAAAGTGATCATATGGGGGGGGGGGGGTCTTCAAAGCCTATAGACGCGCAAACGGAACTAAAAATACGATCTATTTTTTTGGTGGTGAGTAAGTGAAATGAATGGGCCCATTAAAAGCCTTGAGATAAACGAGGTATTTTCTTTCTAGTTACATATCCTGCCATACCTGCGTATACCATACGTTATTATCTCACCTCTTTGTGCGCCATCACTATCAAGAATTTCGGGTCCAGAATTAGCTACTGATCGACCGTTTTGGGAATCGAAGCCTTTATTTAGACAATTCAAATTTTCCGATACAGACTCCATTATATTCAGTTTGTAGAAATGCTTTTCCTCTTCGATCTCGGCCTTTAAGCGTTGCATTTCATCGTGTAATTTCTTACGTCTTTCTTCCAATTCTAACAGTTTCGCTTGCTCATTTTCCAATGTTTTGCACAATTCTTTGAAAGTATTATTAGCAATATCGACCAACGATTGAGATTTATCGAACAGAGAAGCATTTGATTCAGTCTCCGTTACCACAGATGACGTAGTGGTAGGATCAGTGGTTGATGGTGGTGGTATCATGGACGGTGTAGTCAACGGCGGGGCCGTTATTGATGGAGTAGTCATGGATGCGACATCTTCGTCTGTTACCGATCTGGTGGTGGAGGATATATCCTTAAAATCGATTGGCTGCTGGGAACTGGACATTTTTTTCAACTTTATTGAGCTCTTATTAGTATTATTTTTAAAAAATATATTTTTCCTTTTTTTTTTTTTCCAATATACAAATATATTGTAGAAAAGATTCTTTTACGCTTTTAAATGAAAACTATGAAATTTTGTTGACAACTATTTCTCAGTTATTTTGAAATTTATATATGGGTTCAGAAGTTTCTTTTTTCAATAAGAAAAGAAAGACGCTGCAGACTAGTGTACTTCATTTGTTGAATATAGAAAACAAGAAAAGTAATTCTTAACGCCGTGACTTAATGTTAATACTTTTTAGTTTTTTTTAGCTCTGTTGTCTCTGTAAATGCAGTTTTCTCATTTCTAATTGTAAAAGGGTTTTCTTGTATTCGGAATTTTCAGCAAGTCTTGCGTAACATAAAGCTTTTGTGTGATAATACTCGGCTGCCGCATTTTCCAGTTCCTGCCGCAATTGCGAATTATTACCCGAATATAATACTGCATCTTCTATAACACCTGAATCATTTTCAATGTTCGACAATAAGTCATCATCATCTTCATCATTTTCGTAAGCAGCGGCATTGATTACAAACGGCAAACCCTAAAATAGCGTAAGATATTTAAATACAGCGTAAAATAAATAATATTTAAACCGAATATTCAATTATATATTACAAACCTACCCGGTCTAAGGTTTCTGCTGGCGACATATCATGTTGTTATTGTACATTCTGCGGCCTTTTCTCTAATTACTTTGAACTACGTTTTTTAAATTAATATGTAAATTCAAAAAAAAAAAAAAAAAAAATTTCAAAAAAACTATGCCTCAAGCCTTTATCTTAACTAAGAAAAATCTACGATTCTTCATTAATTCAAATTTTCAGTAACTAAATACTATTTTCTTAATTTATTCGTATCTCGTTAACACTTTTCATGTTTGAGTGTGTAATCAATATTACGACTCAAACAATGTTACAATGTTAAATTTAGCTTCCTACGGAATCGTTGGAGTGTTCACGGTCCATTTCTAATTTTATAATTTCATTATTTAATTTTTCAATTTTCAATATCATTACATTTCTTTCAATTAACATGTTATCCATTTCTCTGTTCAAATAATTGGTTTTTTGTTTAAAATATTCTAGTTTAGCTTTCATAACATTTTCATAAGTTTTTCCACTTCTACTATCTTTAGACGATTTAGACGATGAAGATGAGGGTAATTCCTAAAATAGAGAAAAACATACAACAAGTTACAACTGACTGATGCATATTCTTTTCAAATTATTCCTGCGCGCTATTCACAAACATGCTCGCTTGAGATATTCGAACCAAAGAGAATGAATAGCTGTAGAGTATGCGAATAAATACATAGTATAGGGCCCGTGTGGCTTGTTAAAATTTTATAAACGATCCCATCAAAGTTTGCTATCGTTCATCATTCTTTGCTTGAGAAAGAAAGCGTCGTGTTAAGCTTTAAATGGGTTTAATACCACTGAAGGCGGACCTTTCATGTGTGGAATATTTGTAAGCCGGGCCGTTTAATTTTTAATTTTCAATTGAAAAATATTAAATTCTGAGATATTGTTTTAAATTTTGTAAATCGCCTGTTTTCTTATATGCGTATTTATCTATAAAATAATCCAACGCTGGTCATCAATCTCAAAGAAGTAGAATCAAAGTCGACCGTAGCATGGTAGTACCTTGCGCTCCACATCCTCTGTTCTTTCATGAAATGGTCAATCAAATTCTCAAACTTGGAACAAATGATAACAAGTAAAAACCTTATAACGAGCCATGGGCCATCATTAAACGTCCTACAACACTTCACTTCATTCGTATTCATACAATTTTTCAAAATGAGTTTATAAAGTTTATGTGAAGTGCTCGGAGTATCGGAGTAGTAGTAAATTTCATCAAAACATCTCAAAAATTGCGACCCATTTGGTTGAACAGAAGTATACAAGACAATCTGTCAAGTTTAATGATGAGTCTATCTTAAATCCATTTGCATAGACTTAATATACCCTAATACCACAAGCGATGTAGAATATAGAAATGTTACTCGCTCAAGCTTAATAATAAGTTTATAGTGGTCTGTATAACGCTCCGCAGTTGCTCCGAGAAAAATGTAAACAATTCACTGATTTTTTAACTTTCTAATATTGTGAATGTTGTGCCTTTACTTGTTGCGTCTTATACTTCGTAAAGTATCGTATTTTCGTTTTCACAGAAGAGATATACCTTTCCTACATATCTTACTTGTAACCGTATTAAAGGCCTGAAAGGTTCTATCACAACAATCTACGGAATCCTGCTGATGATGAAATTACGATATCACACTACAACATGGCGAAATTTTGGATTTCTTTACCCAATTTATTTAATAGTAGCCTCCCTTATCGAAATTACGGGAAATTCCCCAAAAAATATTTTTTTCACTATTTCCCGCTTTTGTAAACCTTTCGTTTCATATAATAATTCTTATCGAAGCAATTGTCAGAGGTTTTCTGCTCTAAATTTTAATATGAAATATCCCATCATCAAGCAACTTAATCAAGCAAAACATTTACACATCCCGAATAAAAGCAATATACGTAAAGCTGTTTTATGTCCAAATTACCTATAGGTCACAACAAATTTTGGAAACTACCTAATGTACGGAAAGAAAACGATCATTACGAACCTATACTAATTAGTAAATGAGAATTGGCTAACAATAACGAAAAAGATTGCGCCATCACTGATCAATTCTCTAATTCAAGAAAGTTAATTTTTTTCCCAAGAGGTAGACATGGACTCCACTACTGATTTTAACAGTGTTTCTTTGGCTAATATCTCTGAAATTAGGCCTTGCTTCAAAATCTTCCTGTTTATACCTTATAGTACAAGTAATTTCTGCTTACATTTAGAGCTATATTATCTCGTCCTTTTCGCGCTTCGGGGCAGTTCAAAATGTTCACCTTTTCATCTCGAATAGACGCATTTTCACCTTCACGTATAAGATCGTTCTAAAATTACAATTTCAGAAGAAAGGTATTGCCGTCCTTTACATAATTTTGGTGTTTCTCTACTCACATCGGTTCTCGCCCTTTTTGCATAGTCTAAGTAGTTTGATCTTCCGGAGCAGCCAATTTGCCGTTTGCACGCAGACTCATGCTAAAATTGTAATTTCGAAAGAAAGGTGCAAATTAGGACATTTTTTTAATAACTCATATAATATGCGAAATTCGCACAGATAGCCTGCTTTTCTGTCCATCGCGTTATATTGTCAGAAAGTGCTGATTAAAAATACTATTACCGTTAACTCATGAATATCCTTTGACGCTGGAGTAACGGCGCACGCACTCCTGAGAAATAGTAAAGAACGGTTTCTCAAGCATCTTTCAAAAAAGTCTTATTACACATACCAATGAGCTCTCATCCGCGCTTCAGCTGTATTTTGCAATTCCTTATCGCAAATCTTACATTTTGCCACGTGTTTCCCCTTAATGATGCAGTGTGTAAAACCATATAACTGATACCCTTTTCCAATTTTTCTGCCGACCATTTTATAAAAATCGAGTTTTGTGATTGTTTGTATTTGCAACGAACTTTTTTGTTTTTTTTTTTTTGTTTTGTTTATTTAGAGTAATTGATTAGATTTGCTGACAATGAAACTGATGGCCTTTTATTAATTACTGATTCCTTATGATTGATGTTTTACACCTTTAGCTTGATCTCCTTTTCCTCCTCTTCTGGAATTCAGCCAATGAAAATCAAATATAAAAAGGTTTGTGTTTTTTTTCTTCTGTTATTCAACAAACCAACAACCGAAAGTTCGCTGAGATGTGTAAAAATGAACCAACGTAAACACAGAATTCTTTGTTTAGGCTTTAGTAGAGTAGGGGATAGATTTTGTGTACAATATTATTATTTACTTATTTTAGTGCTTATTTCGCTATTGTATTTAGAGTTGTTCGGCAAGTGATTCTGAGCTTAGTGTCTGTCTGTTTATTGATGCAGCGAAGAGACAAAATCGATTGTAAATATATCGGGAATGATGGATGGCAACTATATAAGCAACAAAAACAGAAATGTTACAGGAAACGAATTTTGCTAAAATTTTGAAATACTTACAAACCAGACGGGAACAAAGAGAAATATTCTGTAACGAATGGCATAATAAGTACAAGATTTTTGAAGATGCGCAATAAAAATTCTAATCCCCACAGTTAATACATCTTCTGTATATGGTTCCATTCGCATTTTGCACAACCAGAACGTTACAACGTTCAAATTACTTAAAACAGACCAATCTCTCATTATACCCTACATCGCTTGCGGTACAAGGCTCGAAATTTTTGAAATATTTAGACAAAATTTGGGACGCTGAACTGTTTCAGCGCAAAAGCAAGAAATGTAAGAAATGTTTACAATGAGTTCAAACGATGTTCGTTGTTTATGAAATTCTATGTTTGTTATTTTGTCCGTTATATATAATAAAATAAAACATTTAAATAACTTTTATGATTAAGCATTAACTAATATATATTGTATTGCTAGTATTAATATTATTATTACAATTTAATAATCTTGTGTAGAGAGAAGAGACAACCAATCCCACATACATTAAGACACACGTACACGTACGCATACACATACACGCACAATTTTAAATTTTAAATTTCAAAGAGTTTTTTAAAAATTTAATCAAAAGTGTCATTGTTGTATGGAATAATATTAAAGACAAGAGAAAAAACAAACGAAAATTCCTATAACACTTACTCGGTGGTTACAGGAGGTATCTCAGGAGGTTTCCCAATTGCATTTTGTACCACTGAAAACATTTTGGTCATAATATCAATCGTATGAGTTGCTTCCAAAAACAAATCTCCTCAGACTAATGCAAAAGAAATAATTCGTATAAAATCTTAATTTTTATTTAAGTAAAAGTATTTTTTCATACCGCTTTAACATCAAATACGCCAATATTATCCAACTAGGGAAGCGAGTGGACAGCGAGTGGAGCATTAAGCAACTCTTTAAGCCGACGCAATCAAACAGGGCATAGAAGCCCTTAGATGGGAATATACTTTATTGTCTACTTTATTGTCGTATAACAGCCAAAGCTTCTTCTACATGTGCCTAGAAATATCCACCGTACATAAATCAATGATCCATTATTTTAATCAAATCGCTCAAAACCATAACTCCATCTTCACGCTTTGTACTACGAATTACTTTTATTACAATTTAAATACAATTGTTCCAATTCAAATTTAACTTTTTTCGCTTGCAAGGCTGACAAATGCTTTTGTATGCGAAAATAGGCCGCTTTCTCTCGAAAGTATTCAGTTTCAGCGATAATGCGGGCGTCTTCCAACGAACTTTTACGCTTCGTTGAAGGTTGGCTGCCATTATGGTGTTCGTCCCTTTCAGTGTTTATCAAATCGGTATTTATAAAATTAACCAATGGCTGTAAATAATATTAATTATGTAGGAATAGGATATGCCAAGAACATTTTTTCACCTCATTATCTTCGTACGGATCTATATCGGGTTCGTCGCAATAAGAAGTCAATTGAGTTCTAGACTCACTACTCATCGGCGGATTTTCTGTCTTAATAGGAACGGCCGCCGAAATATCATTTAAATGACTGGCAGAATCATTTAATTGTTTCATACGCTGTAAATTCTCAGGATCTCTTTGTCCCCTTTGAGTAGCGTCGATTTGATGTTTGGCCTTTAAGTGTCTCAATATGTTACCGGTATTACCTTGATAGTTTTGTTCGTGACGGCATACGCGGCAACGTACGCGAGCCCGACTTAATTTCTCGAAATATTTCCATACTAAACTTTTGCGCTTTCTAATCGGCAACTCCTTGTTAGATTCATTATCACTGCTGCTCATGTCGGGCATTTCAAGTTGAGTCTATTTTCAAATTCCAATTTAAACTGTCGCTTTATATTGATGTGTTATTGTTCGTATACGAATTTTTTCTTTATCGATGAAATTTATTTTAATCCGAATAAAAAATCATAGAATATTCGTATTAAAAATGTTACTTTTATTAGTGTTGTAGAATTTAGTTTAATATATATTTAACACAGCTGATTATATACAATATGGTAACCGGATAATCACATCATTTTTTATTCTTATGAATTCATTTGCAGTGTTAGGGGAAAGACATCAAAAACTCAACGTTACAGTTGGCTTGACAAACTTGTTCTGTATGTTATTTAACACTAGATTAGTTCACCACTTTTAAAATTGAAAAATTATTGAATGTCAATTGTACGGTAGTTTAATAGTCTCTCTAATAGCCATTGTTCCTCATCACATAAGAAAACTTTGCGAAATCTGTTTCTTCGTCGGCGGCGAACTTTAAAATGAATTTAAAGAGTTGTAAAGTTATTAAAATATAGATTTGTAATTACTGTTAATAATTTCATATAGAAATTGCAGCAAATTGATTGGCATTTTAATAATGCATTCGGAGGGATTGGATTTTTGAAACGATGTTGACCGCTCTTAAGGATGCCACTGCGTTAAAAGAATAAACGCATCGGACGACAATGGACTCAAGTATAATTTAATTTTTCAAGATATTTTCACACTAAACTTTGTCATTTTCTGATTTCCTAAATTCCTTTATTGGATTCCTAATCGATGCTGGGTTTTTTTTTTTTTTTTTTTTGTGTTTCTGTTGCAATTTTGCTTAAATGTGAATAAATAAATTTAGTTTCACAAATTATTATCAACGATTTGCTAGTGCTGCAGGAAATCTACGGTTTGTAATTAATATTCGATAAAGTTTATGTAAACAAATAGTCTTACGAATATTTTCATCACTACCGGCTTAGTTAATTCACATCACTATGATTTCAATTGCAATTGACATTTTCTGCAAACGTCTGATGAGAAATGAGCGGGAAAATCATATTCGTTTAGTTATTTTGACTTAAGAAAAATGAAAAATTTATCTGCTTTTGACCACGTTATTGTTATAAGACAAGAAATTATCGAAATCCATTGTTATGTGAAACATTTACAAGAACGCATATGAATCAATTCGAGGTATGCTACGGTATTTCCCTACATCTGCATTCGATCGTAAGGCTTCTCATTTGTCTACTTGACTATTGACTAAGGCACATTGATGAATGTCAATATCCAGAAAATTAACAAAATCAAGCCATGACCTCGTGTTGATACTAATGGTTTGGGATGGTAGCTGATAGTGTCGCTCATTTAAAATCAAACACACAGAAAATGGTAGTAAGTGTTTGTACATTTTTTATGTGTATACCTAAAGTGTAACGTTCAGAATTTATTCAAAATAAATGCACTTACCGCAGTAAAACTTTAAACTTTTTATTTTCAGAACAAATGTGGACGTATGTGTATGGACGTATGTATGTAAATTCGCTTGTATGGCTCCTTGCTTTTAAATATATTTTTCTTGATCACAAGGCTATTGTAAACCTCTTCTATAATAGATTACTATATTTATGTATTATTTATTTACTTTCTTCTATTTTAGATAAAAAAAATAATTGAATGCAAACAAACGGAATAGAATTTAAATCTATAAAGGATATAAGTGAATAATGTATTAACTTTTACATATATTCGTACAGGTGGTTTGAATAAATTTGCAATCTTTTATTTAATTGTATGAAAAAACAGCATTTATCTTCCCTTAAACCCATTCAGACTAGTTTTAGTAAATTTTTAGAGACCTGCCGATCGACTTTCGCATATTTTTGCATATATTTATTTGCATAGTTTGAGAAGAATTTCTATTCTTCTATTAATAATTGTAAAGATTAACATTATTCTAATAAGAAATGTATAACTGCTTGATTTGCAGAGGAGTGCTCGGGTTCAATTTGAAACATTTGCTCCCACTTTCACTTATTTGGATTTTGTACTCCTCTGGCGACTAAAAACATCCACAGGATTTTAAGTTAACTATGTGGTTAATGAATTGCTGTTAAAACCCATTTACATTGAGCTTCCATAGCATAATGCACAAGTTACTAACTTGCGGAAAACATCATAGTCGTTAACAATATTAGTGATTGCATTAGTTTTTTGCTTTTTAATTGTACATGGCCTGAAACTTGACATCACAAAGATATCTATTCATATAAATGGAAAAATTTTAAGCAACATGTTCTTCAGGTTGAGGTAAATATAAAGAGATCTTAATCTGTCTGACGATAGCTTTTCTGTCGATGCTTCAACTACGAAAATGATAGGTGACTAAAAATTCAGGAAGCAGAGTTGCGTAATCTTGAAGGAGAAAACTAAAATAGATGGGAGCCTGGGAAAACTGTGAAAATTGGTTGGAGGATGGAAACAAGCAAGGAAAGAAAATATACTGCAAATGCTATTTGATCTTAACAATGTGATGGAAATAGTGCTCTTCGGAGATAAATTTTTCGTTGCTATACGCTTTCGTTATTTTTCAGATAATTTTCCGAAAAGCAATTTTGTTATATACACCTAACGTTGCAATTATTGGTTTCATAATATCATTTAGTGACGAAGAAGTGCTGCAGCTTTTGTAAACTTCTAGAATCATATTAGCTCGTTTCAAAAAGCGGGTACAATTTGCACCTTAGACGCAAAAGGAGGTAGATAATGGCGTTTAACATCTGTAGTAGTTGATAAAAGTCAAAAAATGTATTTCCCATTAGAAAAAAATACTTTAGTTGCGGTGATTGGAAAACATTCCCAATTAGAATAATATATCCCCGAATTATTACATTTTTAGGATAGCTGATGTTAAAAGTTACGCGTCGATTTTTTAAAAAATAAATTCTAAAAACCGAATATTGTACCATTATTTTCTAAGATTTCATTTTATATTTTGCAAATAATTCTTCTAACTCTAGTTTCAATTTTTTGGCTTGCAATGCAGCCAAATGCTTTTGCATACGGAAATATGCGGCTTTTTCGCGGAAATATTCTGTTTCAGCTACTATACGATCATCTTTCAGCTTATTAGTGTGGGCAGCAGATTGTGTAAGTATATTATCCTTTTTTGTGTTGTCCAGTAATTCGTTATAATCAAAGTTAATAACGGGCTAAATAAATTAAAATAATTTTTACATACACTGATGAATTGAAATTAAATATTTTCGCACCTCGTCTTTGTCTTCATAAGATTCATTTAATGAATTTTCGTATACGGTCGGTTCACGTTTTCTAAACTCCCGCTTGGCCGGATGTTCCCTCTTAATGGAAAACGAAGATGTCGTTGCCAATTTTAATGAATTTTCGTTAATTTGACAACTAGCATCCAATTCTTGCATACGTTTTATATTTTTAGGATCCTGTAATCCTTTGATAGTTGCATCCAATTGATGTTTGTTTTTTAAATGTCTTAATATATTGCCTGTAGTACATTGATAATTTTGCTCGTGACCACAAATACGGCATTTAATTTTTGATCTGCTTATTTTGTCGAAATATTTCCAAACTAAGCTCGTACGTCGTTGTCCACGATCTTCCTTAATTGATTCATTTTCACTGCTGCTCATATTGATCTAAGAATTTAACGGATCAATTCAGTCATTTTAAGTTAATTTAATACTAATTTAAACTTTATAAAATTCTATAATTTTCTTTTTTATTTTTAACTTATAAACCCGTATATTGGTTCATAGTGATGCATAAACAAACCGCTAGCATAGCAGAATAAAATTAAATAATAATATTGCAAAATAACCGGTTCAATGAAAGAATAAAAGTAAAAAAAAAAAAAAAATAAAAAAAACTTGAAACCAACCTCAACACAAGTTTATAAATTTTCATACAATGCTGCGCTATTTTACGGTTTGAGATGCCAGACGCCAGTAATTTATTTTTATCATTAGTGAGATGTGTGTATGTGTGCGATATACGAATCAATTAGTTTTTTCTTCTCTCTCTATTCGTTTAGTAGTGATTACTCTTGAAAATGTATAGAAAGAATTTAATTTAGGAAATGATTGAAAAATACCGATTATTAGCTAAAGCGAATTAAATTCAAAAATCATACCGCAACGATTGGTATGAAATAAACACTAACAAATGGAATATCAAATCCTTGATGAGGATACGTTAACTGAAGTTGATATCTTAGGGAAAAATTCGGATAGTGGACGTGATAGTAGTGAAGTTGCCTTTGAAGCGTCTAAATCAGATTCAGGCATAGCGACTGATTCAAATACCCCATCCAAACGAAAAATTAGTTTTGCCTGGGATTATTTTCGCGCCGTCTACGGTACTAGTCAATATCAGTGTTTGGTTTGTCAAGCCTGTGTGGGCAATAAAATTAGTAATTTAGCTCGCCATTTGGCGGTATCTCATGACATTACAAGGCAGAGTGTGGTCCGTATTAAAAGACAATTTAAAATTTCCATCTTTCATTAATAATTTGTTTGCTTACTTTAGAAAGGCGAGTACTTTTCTTTACGAACTCGCCCTAGTCGCAGCTTCATTTGGAAATATTGCACAAAGGAGAATAATAAACAGGCTCGCTGCCATCTTTGCAATAAAGTTTTGTATTTCGGTGGCGGCAATACAGCCAATATCACCAAACACTTGAAACGTATGCACGGTGATATAATCGAGAATAAGAGCGTAAGTATATCGGATATTTAAAAGAATTCATAATTTCATATTTCATAAAAATTCAGGATTCAGTTATGGATGACGAGACGATGCAAGCAACTGCAGCTCTGAATCAAACAGCTTATGAGGAAGAGCTTAATGGTCGCAATAGCGACGATATCAGCTCTAGAGAGCGTAAAGAACGTAGGGGAGCTAGTTATGTTTGGAATTATTGCGAGAAATTATCGAGTCACACGATACGCTGCAAATTGTGCACAAAAGTCATGTCCTTTCATGGCACGGCGAATGTAATAACGCACTTGCAACGACGTCATAATGTGCTTGGGGATACTGCAACAGTTCAGGTCAACTATAAACAAGATAATTTTGAAGGCATAAACATTGCTGAGAGCCCAGATATTTATGACAACACGGATTCTTTACCTAAGGTTGGCCGTAAATCTATGAATAGAGAAAGCGTAGTATGGAAATATTGCACCCCAATTGGTCAAGATCAGGTGCGATGTCTGTTTTGTAAAAAAAACCTCTCATATCAGGGTACAAGTAATTTACAACGTCATCTGCATCGTATGCATGGAGTGGTTACGCATGGTCGCAAAACTAAACTACCTGCAGATACTGAACTTATAACAACAATTAAAGAGGAGAGTTTTAAATTGCCATCAAATGTTGATTTTATTTGGCAATTTGTGAAACAACTAGAAGATGGTCAAAAATCAAAGTGCAATATGTGCGATGCAGTTTTCGAAGCTAAAGAAATCGAAGCCATAGCCAAACATTTAACTATGGTTCATGCCGTTGAGCCGAATCCTGATAGTAAATTAAATATATTACGAACACGAAAACGTACTCGACATGTAGACTTTGTAAGTATGAATGTTGTAAAAATCACAATCATATATAAGCGAAAGTTCTCTCTTTTGTAGGAGACCAGTGACGATGGCAATTACGATGAAGATTTTAATATCAGTAAGTGGAGTAAAATAGAAGACGCCGATAATCAAATCTCAGATTTCGATGAGAATATTAAAAAAGAGGATTCTTTGTTTGATGACATTATAGAAGAAGATCGGGATCATGCCAACAACTACGATGAGGATCCTTTTGATCAGAATGTACGTATAAGATTTCTATGAATTAATTTTTATAAGAATTTTTTTTTGTGATCCTCATAGATAGTACAAGAAGTATCGCAGCCGAATCCCCTTTCTGCGCACAGTTCTCGAGATCATTCTCCTGACAATATAATACTTCCGCAGACGAATTTACCTTTACAATCGTTGTTAACACCCGCTACAACTGCTACTGCCGGTCATGCAGAATCTAAAATATTATTGAAATTACAAGAAGACCGCTTACGTATGGAAACCGAATATTTTCGCGAAAAAGCCGGTTATTATCGAATGCAAAAGTACCTGACAGCTTTGCAAGCTAAAAAGGTGCGCATTGAATTGCAGCGTCTTAACGAAACTGAGAGTACAGTTGTCACTACAGCCGATTTAAATGGGCCTTATACCGTAGATGTTGGTCTCAGCGATCACATAAGCACACAATAGTTCTATTTAGCGTAGTCATCGCATTTATAAACCTTCTTTTCTCATTACGTTCGAACAGACGTAGAATAAATTCTATTTAAGTAAATTTATGCAAAGGTTTGTAAACTTTCGGCAATTCCTCAAATTGCCTTAAGGAAATTTGCCAGCGACGCGAAGAAGAGAAGAGGAGCCAGCGTATGCAATGTTTTTAACAAGAATGTTTTTTGTCATTTCTTATAAGTAAATATTTCGTTTTATTAGGCTCGAGTGATAACGATAGAAAATTTTCATCATCATGAACCTGGTTCAAAATGAAGTAGTTTACAAATGTCTACATAGAGATAAGTAACAATTCATTAATTCAAATTTTTTTTTTTTTTTTCTTTACTTCGTTATTTTTTCTAAGATATAAATAACTTTATAATCGATGGAATAAAATAGTTTTTTTTTTAATTCATTCATTTTTGTCAGTTAAATTTTACTTTCTTTTATTAAGAATAAAATAAAAATGGAATTAAATTCTGAACTTTCGTTTCATTTGTATTCCAACTAACCGAAGATTTTTGCGTTGCGGCCGATGCTCGATAGGAATGGACCATTTTTTTCGCACTATTTCTCTTAGAATATTTTCTTTTTTCATCTTCTACCATACAAATAAATTATGTAAGATGAGCAAAGTTTTTCAATAAAAATTAATTTTCTTCGCATTACTAGTATAAAAAAAAAACATGCACAAAACAATATTATATTTCAATTCATTGTGAAAACATAAATTTAAAAAAATTATTTACAAGTTTTTTTTTTTTTTATGTATATACAGATATAAATAACAGTATCAAGATAATTTTGTTTTACTACTAAATAGCTTTAGTTTCCTTTTCGAGGTAACATAATTTGTGTGTGTGTGTGTGTGTGTTAAATTGCCAAAGGCATAATACCAGTAATATATATATGTGATATACTATTATATTTCTATGTGCCGATTTTCTTTACGTATTATTTATTCGAAGGCTCTATCTACTCTAGAACATTGCCTTTCTTTTACTGAAAGAAAGAAGTTTTTCTATTTAAATAAATGGATGACACGACGATTGAGTTTCTTTTTTGACAAGTGTTGTATTGCGAAATATAGAAAATTCTGCACGATAGGTGAGAACGCGACCCTTTTATTATATATCACTAGATAATTTAAGAAATTATGTCTAAATTTGAATCCGAGTTAGTGTTCAAATAAGGCGGTCATAATGGCCATTAATGTAATTCCGGATATAAGGGCAAGGAATTGTTTTGTTGATTCCACGCAACTCTCTTCTTGCAATAAATCTGGTAATACTGTAACAAGGGCAATATGCAAGAAACCGCCAGCTGTAAATGGCATAATCCAAGATGTTCGAGCCTCTGTAACATATTAAATCGAACCTATTGATATAATGATGATGATATGAATATGTCAGTTAATGTTTTTACCCATGGCAGATGTTACACCCGAGCCTCCTATGGCCACCAAAGCACCTAATAGACCGGCACCCGCTGTCAGCAATTGCGCCCTGGCCGCATCCCATCTATTAAAACCTGAACGCAATAATATTGCAAAATCTCCTACTTCGTGAGGTATTTCGTGTACTGTAAAAATTTATTCATTCTTCAATATTTTACAGGAATGGATATGTGTTTCTTTTTTAAGAGAGGTTGCAAATCGAGATGTTATGTCTATCAAGTCGTTTGTATTGTACATATAAAATAAGAAACAAGTAAAAGTCCACTATACCGGGCTACCCTACACCAGTTCGCTTAGTACAGTTATTCATGTAACCTCTTTTCAGAGTAAGGTGTTAAATGGGAAGTGTCAAGAACGTGGCGATCCAAAACCATTTCCATTAGTGTTTGTTCTCAAGAACAGGATTTCATTGAATTGTCTCAAAAATTGCGACCTATGAGTTGCACACAAGAAGACAAACCGGAGAGACAGATAAAGCTTAGATCGTTTCGAAGTGATTCTCCCCTTCTGGGTGTTGCATATACACTTGCCCAAACCTAATAAACCCTTGTGTGTGTGCGTAACAAATTGTGTAGAGTATAAAAAGGCAAAACTTTACAGTATTGAAGTATTGAATATTACAGATCAACTTTGAATACAGACACAAACCCATCTCGCAAATTCCAAAATGCAAGTGAAAATATGAGTAAAAAAATTGTAAAATTCCAATAGATTGGTAGAAAATTTGTTTTGAAATTTTTTTTCAAGCATTTGGAAAATCAAACGAACTAATGGATCCACACCATTAAAAATAATAAAATGTCAGAGATGCAAAATTCATTTTAAAGCGACAATAACCCCTTTTACTACTTATTGGAATAAATTTGCACTTACATAATATAGCGAATGTTGCCAAAACCCCGTGACGAAAAGATACTAAGAAAGAACCGGCTACGGCAAGACCATGTGTAAAATTATCGATAGAATTAGCAAGTAGATTTAAATAGCCAGCCACTTTTCTTGGTTGTTCTTTTTGCTCTTTGATTTTTTGTTCTCTTTCCTTTAAAAAACAGCCATTTGGTACATCTTCAATATCACATGAACCTTTACCACTACACTTCTCCGATGTTTGGCCCTCAACGAATTTTCCGCCCGTTTTGCGTAATAAACAATTAGCTATTTCCACACATTTCGGTTGAGGATTTGTCTCATCGGCATTAGTGTAGCCAGAGAAGATTTTTTCAACTACAGTAAATATTAAAATACCAGAAAGAACCCAAAGCCCTGAACGTAATGGTGGTTGGTGACCTGCACTTGCTTCATTATGAAAATAAAATAAAATTAATTCGAGTAAGAAAAGAAAAATGACGATGGAAGATCAAAAAACTTACTGAACTGACTATCTCCTTCCCATGCTTCTGGCAACAAATGCAGGAATACATCACCCAAAAGGCCACCGACAGCAAAACTCAAAAGTACCTTCAAAAATTTCGATTCACCGGCTAATAACAAAAAGAACGAAAGGGTCATAATAATAAGTTTTTTTTTCATTCTCTTCGAAAATCCCATTGCTCGATTGTATTCATACTTACGATCTTTATAACCTTGTTTTTCCAATCTCTCATCCGTCGGTATAATTGCCAATGGTAATATGCCGCTTAAACCGATTACCATTGACCCCAATAACGAGAAGACCCACGGCGTGTATTCGAAAGTTTTAAAATACTCAGGCACGTATTGGTTCATTAGATGTGCGTACATTGTTGCTAGCTGTTCGTCGAAAAATGTCCCTGTGGCATTCATTCTAAATATTGTCGTTATTATTCGGATTAATACGGATTAAACTATATCACAATTGTTTAAAAGGATTATTCGGTTAAAATTTGAAAAAAACTCTCTACGTTAATTTTAGCGCTTATTCACGCTCGGCTAGATCATAGAGAAATTTAATTGTAGAAAAAAAAAAAAAAAAAAACAAAAATATCACGTATCTTGTTAAAGTATATGTATGTATGCACTTAGGCTAGCTCATGGCCTTTGCAGATTTTCAAATAAATTTCGGATTGGACGCAAAATTTTTTTAATATCTCTGGAAAAAAGAACAGAAAATTTCAATAAAAATTAGTAAGAAAAAATTGAGAAAATGTTTACGAATTTTTATTTAAGTAGATTTAACAAGAACGCTTCGGAAATTGAATGCAATTAGCCGGCACAAGAAGATTCGCTTAATCAATTTACCAATCCGTCGCGCTCTTTTTCTGCATTGATTTTTTAATGAATTATGCCGGCTATAAAATTATAAGTTCCTCGTATGTACGATGAATGGATGGAAATGAGTCTATCTCCTTATGAGAAATTAATTCAAAATTTGGAGCGGGCTCACGGGATCTTATACGAAAAAATTTTTTTTAAATAATTTATTGAGATTCCTACCTTCCTTTTTCTATATCTATCGCCCAAGCATGAGGGGTATATTCATTTAGTCGAAATGTTTCAAAAGGAAGCCTCAGAGGTCCCACAGCATCAAATTCTGTATCGAGTTAAGCATGTCCATCTGTCCGCTTATGTAATGTCTGTTACAAACGTACCCTTGGCCGCCAAAATAAAGTTATCGGTCGGTGTTGGAAATGGTCCACTTCGGCCGAAGGAAACGCCTATAGTACTTCGTAAGTCGAAAAGACCTCTGCCTTTCAAAAGGAATAAACAATTGGTTTTTTGGTCGCTAGTTATAGACTTCGGGCGTATTCTATGCCCGATGCTGTACTACCTATCCAAAATTTTGAAGAATCCGCTACGCCTAATCAAGTTTTGCAGTATGTCATAAGTTCATGTTTATCCGAAATCTTTTTAAGACGCAGAAGGAAAGTTCAAAAACCCCATAAAGCATATGAATTCTTGTCCAGTTTCGAATTCGGAATACATTTAAGCACGCCCACCTATTCGTCTCTTGACCTGCCTATCTATCTAACTGTGCACTATTTGCAATAAACATTCTCGGTTTAGCGAAAGTGAAGACATTGGCTAAGAATTTGTTAAAGAACTTAAAAATCGTCCAAACTAATCAAAGGAAGCGCTTGCAGCACTCCACACGTCTTTGCAACAAACACTGAGAACGCCTTTCCTTTCGGCGATTTTTGCTCATCACTCACTTACAAGCTGTAACGGTATAAATATCCACTTTTTTACCGAAGAATAGAAAAAATCATCCCCGCTCACCTAATATTATATACCACTGTAAATTTAGTTTTTTGCTTATGGTTTTAATCTTTCTTAACGTAACGCTGATGGGTATAAAAGATTTGGTCGCCTCCAAATATAATTTTCTTATCTGTTACACTCATAGGCTGTGTTTCTTAGATTTTAATGTATATTCAATACTTTTCTTTTTGTCTATTTTTTATTACGTTTATTTTTACCATTGGTTTGCGAAATTGAAGTAAATTTGACAAATGTAAAGAAATGTCACGAGTGAACTGAACTCTTGTTGTTTCTCAACGTCTTGCTTCTTCATAGCATCTTTAAAGGAAAATGTTATTAAAAAGAAAGCAATATTTTGTCTTATCTTGGCCATCATACAAGGGAAGGGATAAGAATATGCGAAGAAGGAGACATCTATAGAGCAAAATTCAAATTTATATATGCATCTTCGTTGTATATGAGCCATATATCTGTCTTTTCAACAATCAAAATATCAGTTAATATCAATATCGCATCCTATAATGTCTAGAAAAAATACTTTTGCATAATACGCGCTTTTTGCCTATGCCATTTTTGAACTAGCTCTTCACCTTATTGATTCACATTATGATTCGAAAATTAATTGGTGTTGTTTACTGTATCGGTGACCAAGTTTTTGCATGTTTGCGATGGCTTAAGAGTTCACTTGCAATTGGATTCTGTATTGGGTGCCTCTGTGCTAGTTATGTATATGCTTTTTTTATTTATTTTTTTTCCTTATTTACTTATAAATGAATTATTATTTAATAATTATTATTATTATTCTTTTCCCTTATTTCTAATTGTATACTTTATACTAGTTTTTAAAGATTTACTTCTAAGAGTCAATTGACTGACTGTTTGGCTTGAGCTAACTTGAGCTGCTTTAGTTGAGCTTCATGTGTAAATGAACTAAAAAAAAAAAAAAAAGGATTCATATTTTTTTTTAAGAGTTCTGAAATAATTTTAATTAGTAAATTAGACGATTTTTTCAGTTTAGTAAAAGAAGTAAACAAAGCCAGTCTCTACAGAGATAGAAATACGAATTTACTTTTGAAGTGCGAGGTAAATTCACTGAGAGTAGTCCAAATTGCAAAGCTAATGCTCAAGTGGCCATCGATGAACAATTTTTTCAATGGCAAAAAGCGTAAGGACTGACAGACTGAAAAAGCCGTAAAAAGTTCGGAGTGATTAGCAATTGTATGATCTTAGCATGAAACATGTACTGGAATCCAAATTTATACAAATCGGCAAAGACGATGGGCTTATAATTAAAACTATAACAAGCCATAGTGGCCTTATGATGCAGCAATGAGGGACCGCTAGATAACAAGAAAATACTTAGTGACATTAGCATTTTGTTGAGGCTTTTTAAAAGTCTTCTAACTCTTTCAATATTCCTGATCTAGAAGGAATAAAATAAGTGAGCGCACCACGCCCACAATTACGCACGCAACGTGGAAAAGACTTGTTTGCAAATTCATAGAAGACGTCTTTTTAACACTTGCTACTAATGTTTAGCAGAACGATTTAAAACTTCAATGGCAAAATTGCCTTCGATAAGAGCGATCGCAAACAAGTCCACGGTAAAAAACTATAGCAATGAATATTGAGTTAAATTTGATACAAATATTGCTAGTGTCCTTGACAAATAGGATATAGGAATTTACTCTCCAGCATACTTTGAGATGATTTATATTGGAAAATTGGAACTAAAGCGACATTAACTTTGTTACCTATTTCTCTGGAGGTTTTTAAAACTATTGTCAAAAAACTGATATATGTTGATATAGTCGAAAACTCGAAAATTGAACATTTTGAAATGATTTTCAATAACGAATTGTTTGCTTGTTCACTTGTTCACTTCGATTGGAACGATTGCAATTTAACGCACTTGAAAGTTAACAATTAAAGTCCTTCGGTTACAGACTTTTTGCAATTAATATCACATATAATTTGAACTTAAAAAATGTCATTGCCCTACATGATGATGGCTAGTTGAAAAACATTATTATAATATTTATCGTTAACGTCAGGTGTTTGCAAAAATTTTGATCATCAACTTGTAAAGATAAAAATGATATATAGATAGTAAATGATAAATAATGAACATAACGGTTGAATTCGATGGAGCTGACCTTGCTCTACATAAACTAACACTTTTGAATTTAATATTATTATGGATTTATTCAGCTATTCATAGAACGATCAAAATTCTGCTTCTTTGAAATTTACTACTTTCGCCGTTTATTTGCAAAAAATCTGTTCCCGACGCCCACCAAACACTTTCCGGGGTTTATGGTAATGCTGCTGCATCATATTCCATTTAGAGATTTCAAGTCCAACGGTTTAAAATGTGGTCGGTGGATGGGTCGCTGCCAAACCAATATAAGTACTATCGACATGATATCGCCATGTCGCCAAAAATATTGTAAAACGTAGAAAGTGATGGAAACTATTTTGATTTATATATATTGCATTAATTTTCCACAATAAATGCATTTTCCAAGTGAAAAAATTATCGAAATTTTTGCAAGCACCTATATTTTCACCAAAGAGGAGTGAATTCACTATCGAAGTTTTTTTTTTTTAATTTACCTTTTAAAAGAAAAGCGATGAATTTTAAGAATAAAAAAAAAAAAAATCCGTAACTTTTAAAAAAAAAAACTTTTTACCCCCTCTTGCACTATTTTAATACTTAAAGTACTTTCAAACAACGAAAGGTCTATATAGCTATTTTCTAAGAATTAAAGCGGTAAAGGAAAGCCGTTCAGTCAGTATTTTATCTCTGAGTCTCAGTAACGAATTAAGACATGAAACTATAAACATGATGAGTAAGCAAATACTCTTAGTACCGCAAACTTTTCTAATATCATCAGGCAATTGTGCAGGTTTGCATATAGGAAGACGGAGAGACAGAGAGACAGAGAGAGAGAGCGAGTGAGGGAGAAGCTAAAAGGTATAAATGGGCTTCAAGAAATTAAACGCTCCTCTATTAATAATTAAATTCAGATAAAAGCTTCTTTACAAATATCACGTTTTTCAATTTATAATCAAATTAGTCGATTGGTTTTTGCGCTCCGCACTATGTTTCATTTATGTGATAAATATGGAGGGAATTTTATTTATACACTTATCTTTGTTTGTTTTTTTTTATTTTTATTTTTTTTTATATATATTATATGGTGGCAAATTGTGATTAATAATTTAATATTTTTCACTATACTTATATATGTGTGTGTGTGTATTTACATATTCATAGGTGTATTTCAATCGTGTATCATATATATTCTTATCAATAAAGTCGTGGACTTTTGTAATTACACTTCTTTCTCGGTTTTACATTCAGTTCAAATAACTGTAAATGTTGTAGTCGAGAACTGAAGAATTATTTATAAATATTTTGTAAATAGGTGATTGAACGAAATCAAACAGCTGTAGTCAGAAGAGTTGTACATTAAATTTTTATCGTCATCTATGAAATTCTCAGCATTTGCTTCATTTTTTTTTTTTTTTGTTTTGGACTTAAATACCCACCTTTTTCTTTTTTAGAAACCTATCATTATCTATATTTTTAAAACTTAAATAGTAGGGCGAAAAAAAGTATTTGAAATTGAGTGATGACCTTATAATAACCTTATCAATTTTACATCGGAATTTTAGGCAAAACAAAGCGATCCAAAAACAACGTTTTCGCCATTTTTATGCTATCACTCCTAGTTAAACTAATAAGCCACGAATAAGGTAAAAACAAATAGAATTAATTACGAGAACATTTCTAAATTCAATATTTCAAAAAAAAAAAAGAAAATTAAATACTTGATACCCGATGAGAATTTCAAGCCAATAATAAAAATATAAATTATAAAATTTTTAACTAAAATTTAATTAATAATATAATGAAATTGTAAGCATTAATAAGAAGTGGAAAATTGAATCCTGACATTGCTGTCATCATCATCATCATTATGAATTAAAATCAAATTACGAATATCAGTCATAAAATTCTTTAGTGTAAACGCTTAGGCGACCAGAAATCAATAACGACAGATCAACAAGAAGGAAAATAGAATATAAATGAAATATTTTTGATTTTTCCTTTAAAGGCATTCGAAATGCAACTAAGAGATTGAGCGGCGAATTAACCGCAATTAGTGCGGCTTTCTACGTTTGGTCTAATTCTACTTACGTAAGGCTATTGTCAACAAAATGCCAGCCAAATAATCTTCCGATTGCAGTTAAAACTATATTAACAAACAATTTCTTCGAAATATTTTCGACCAAAGTGGTGATAGCGGAAATTTTCGTAGCGCTATCAAATAATAATATACATACGTTTGTACGTGTAAAAGTATCCCTGCAAACACTGATTTCATAATTAAGATAACTACTCATCTAAGGCTTAATATTTATGATACAATAGCTTTTGAACAACAAAAAAATTCTCCCAAAAAAAAAAGTGAGTATGAAAGCTATAATAGACACTGTGACGAAATCTGGACATTAGTTTAAGGACTAACGAATCTCGCGAATATTATTGCTGTATATCGACATCTACCACACAACATCTAAATTACTGTAAACATAACACATCTGACTACTAGCTTTCACTTTAATCAGCCGCATTCTTTTGAAACATTTTGTTACAATTGCATGTGTATTGTTGCTTTTTTTCCATACTTAGTCTTGAAGACGGCACAAACTATGGTTAACTTCTCTTGAAGATTGAAATTGTGCCGTGTATGTGTTCTTTTTTGCAAATACATACAAAAAATTATTAAAAGAGAGGGAAACCAAACATTACGTAAACTTTCAACGAATCCCTATTAGAAGAGAAAATGAAGCGAAATATTCTACAAATATTTGTTAGAATCATCCAGTAGTTGAAAATTTGTTAATTAGCGCACAACTAGTTGATATCTAAGATTCGCACATATCTTTTTTTTTAGTTGTTGTATTCGCCGTATATGGCATATGGCTTCTATTAGATATAAAAACTCCTTTTATTTATTATTTATTGCTTTAGAATCTTACAATTACAATCTTAAAATTTCGTAAAAAATATTAAAGTATATATATATATATATCTTATAGAATTCTGGTTATACCTATTAAATAGAAATTTTCTTTATTTTATTTCCATTTTCAAGCCTGATTGCAAGGCAATTTGCAAATTATCAAATATATCGAAAAATGTTCGTATGGATATATGTTATGTATGTTATGTATGTTCGCAGTGCAATGGAATATACCGCACGAATCATATGTATGCGGAAAACAATCGTTCAAAGTCATTAAATTAATAAGAACCTTTGCAGCCAAATGTATATATTAAATAGTAAAATAACCGACAAATTACGTTATATGAAATAAATAAATAATAATAAGGTATTCACGCGGAAACTCAAATATCACCATCTAAAATAAATACATGGAAATCGTTGCTTCTGATTAATTGTGTATATAAAGTCAACATCGATTGTGGACCTTTATGCATACATTTTCCTTTGTTTAACTCTAGTTGAATTTTCTGAAATTGTTTTTTTGTTTTTTTTTTTGTTTTAGTTTTAGCGACCTTTTTGCATAACTATAAGCATAAGTTTTTGTACATTTTTTCACTATAACAATCCGAAATAAAGACATAAAATTGCTCAGACACATATGGAACGACAAAAGTATCACACTTATATTTTTCGATGGCGGGCATAATTGTTACATGTAAAAGAGCGATCAATGAAAGCATTTCATTGCAAACAGCATTTGTCGTCATAAAATAGGAAATGTAATGTTTTCTTACCTTATTTTCTTATTTTTGTTATTACTTGGATATAATTCTTCCGAAAGGGTTGAGCTTATGAAAATTATTTGTTTGATGCTTGAATTTTTTTTTTTTTACTTTTTGACTAAAATTGTCAAATTATAGAAATAATAAGCTTGTTGCCGTGTTATTGTTTTTTTCTTTGAACTCTTATTACTGCGCAGTTGCTCTATTATTTATCACTAGTTTGCACTGAAACTGAGTGATTTCTATTTTTCTTTTTTATTTAAATAATATGCACGCTTAATGCGATTCGCTTTTATAGATTTTATAAAACTTTACGCAAAATGGACATTTTTAATCCGCTGATATATTAGCATTTCACTATATTCTTAAACGATTTGGAAGTTCGGACTCTAGTAAATGAGAACGCTGTTTAATTAATAACAATGATTTTATAATAATAAGAAAACGTTTAACTGATAAACCGTTTAATATGTGCCGTATGTGCCGTGTACAAACAATATGGGGGATAATGATGTCAACTCTGTGCTTTCAATGTGCGATTTCGCGTTTTTTCTGTTATAATAGTATAAACGGCGGTATCAACTTTAATCAAATTACAAATATATATGCGCAATTTATGTTTACAAATATTTTCGTGGATTTAAAATATGCTGTAGTAAATATAGTGTGAGTATGTGTTTCGACTAAAGTTGGGAAATCCTTTTCGCAAATGACACTGATATGTTTGCGTATTTATACATATAATAAATTATATAAATATCATTTCGCCCCCACTGGTGTAAGTTTCCAACAATTTTCAGAGGAATTTTTCCGTTTCGCATTCTGCGAGTCAGCAAGTCAACAACAGATGGCTTGCCGAGTTGCGTATTATTTTTTCTGAGAAATTTTGGTTTGAAAGATTTACCAAACAAATTGAATACGGCCGTCAAAGGCGCTTCGCATGATATACTATGAATCTCTTAATAAGAAATATCGCCATCGTTGAAGAATTTCACTGCGATACCCTTTGTTTGATAGCAGGTTTTTTATCAGCAAAAGTTTGGTATGATATATACAAAGATAAAAAGGTTAAACTTGATGAACAGTTTTGAAATTGTAACTCGTGTTTATGAAGTGTACTTCTACGTATATTATTTGCGGCAAGTAAAAAAACTACATTTCCTCTATAATATCAGAAATTGCTCCCTTTACTATTTAATTATTAGATTGAATAAAATATAACCAAAATATGGAAGTGAAAAATACGAATATTTTTGAAATTGATATTGAATTTTGAAATTGTTGATTAGAGCGTCTACTCGGCAACTCTGTCAATAGTAGAGAATTCATTATCATTTGATTGATAACAACCTGTTATTCTCTCAGTTGCTCTCTTCAACTGTCAAAGTGGGTTGAGGAGTGTTTATTAAGAAACGGGAAAAATAAAATTTATAAAAATATTGAAAAAAAAAAGCTTTCGCAGATCCTTATTAATTGTTATAATAAACATTAGTTGAAGTAAATAAATCGCATCTGTGTTAAGAAAGCTTATTTTAAGTGCGTGTAATATATAAACAAATAAATTCACAATATGTCAACTCGTAATCTTTTATTGCGCCAAGAAAGTGAAGAATCAACCCACGTCTTAGCTAGCTCACCGTCAATATCTTCTTTAAATCGTTTACGTGACACTTTTCGTCGCACTGAAAGTTTATCCTCACAGTTAAGTTCAATTGTGTCAAACGCTGCATCGGCAGCATCAGGCGCAGTCCTTGGCACTAGTGCAACTGGCGCCGCTTCGGAGGCATCGTCTGCCTCGGTTTCACAAGTGTCTACACCCATTAAACAAAGAAAGCCCGGTAAGTTGATTATATTTACATTCCAATTATTAAACGAGCTGAGCTAAAATCCGACAAAAACTATAGCTATGCCACAAATATCGTTTCTATTATTTCGAATTTCAATGCATTAACTGAAGGAAAAAAAAAAAAATTAAACCAAGTGTCAATATATGTATGTAAAAAACACAGTGTACAAAATCCATACTCGCCCTCTTTATTACGTTATGTATGTACGAAAAAATTAAAACATATGTTTTTTCTAACGAAATGTATAATTAAAATAAATTTTTTGTTTATTTATTCAGAATTTTGAATTCAGGAATTCATTTTAATTTAAATTAAAACCTTTGTTGTCGAAATATGAAATAATAAAAAAAGATTGATAGCAAAAAAGTATAAATTTTTTATTTAATTGAATTTTTATACATTCGTCGGGGAGCTTAGCCTATACAAATCAATAATTTTTAATATTAACATTAACTAACAATTGCATTCATCAGTCAAGGAACTACAGATATTTTGCAACAGTAAAGCCAAGCTACCAATGCTAACTCTTTGCGGGTTTTTGCCGAATTCTTTGCCAAAAAACCTGGTTTATCTTCTCTAAACAAAAGGGTAAAAAATCCTAGTTGCTAGTATTTATCCTATTTTGGCCCTTCAGTGTACATCTTTAGTCTAAATTAATTATAGTAATTGTAAAAATATATGAAAGAAATATGTTCTCAAAAGAAACGATATTTAATGGCAGTTCGGAGCCTAGGTTTATTAAGGGCAAAGTCGATATATTCTTGAATTAGCCTACAATCATTATATCAAGATCTTATCAGCACATTGTTATGTATAATCTACGTTTTATGGCAGTTACCCGTGTGAAATTTGGCTGGAATATCTATTTGAGTCCTCCGAAAAATTTCAGTGAAAATAATCTAGTCTTTCAACTTTTGGGTCGTTCCTGTTTTGTTATATCTTGCAGATTTTATAATTTCTATACAATAGAAAAAAGTTTTTGAAAACTCGGCTCGGATTATGAATTACGTACTATTTGCGTTGTTTTGTTTATTTCTTATTTATTTGCATAGAACAAGGCTGTATAGGATTATATAAGAAATATAACGCCTATCACGACTTACTATGGAGTGATAAGATCAAAATTTTTTTTATACCCATCGTCGAAGGATGAGGGGTATATTCACTTTGTCAAAACGTTTGCAACGCCCAGAATGAAGCATTAAAGACCTCACAACGTATATATTCTTAGACACAATCAAATCTTAAATCGATTTAAGCATACCTATCTGTCCGTCCGTCTGTCTTTGTAACGTTTGTTGCAATCATGCTCTTGGCTGTAAAAATGAAGCTATCGACTTCAAATTTTCGGTATCGAAAATGGACCAAATCGGTTAGAGGACAAACCCGCAGCACCACGTAAACTGAAAACACCTCTGTTTCTCAAAGGGAATGAAACGTTGCTTTTTCGTTCAATACTCATCAACCATAGCAAATAAATGCAAAAAAATATGAAGTGTCATTCTAAGATGCTGTAACGGTTGTGTACAAAAATCGAAAAAAATGGAAAAAATTGATCAATATTATAGTGTATCAAAATTGAATTGTTTTTTCAAAAGCTTTATAAGGCGCAGAAACAAGCTTCAAAAACCCCGTAAATTATACTTTACTTACTTACTATACAAATAGTTGGCCGGTTACAACTCTTGAATGCACCTAAACATGTCCGCCTATTCGTCTGTCCATCTGTCTGTTTGCGCAGCTTTGCAGTTTTTGTGGTCCAATTGTGGTAAACATTTTCCCTTTAGCGAAAATGAAGATATCGCTTATAAATTTGGAATTGACCCAAACTTTTCGAAGACTACGCCTACAACACCCACAGTCTATTACGTCAAAAACATCTAGAAGAAATCAGCTGCGCCTTTGTGCCTTTACTTCTTTTGTTTTTTTTTAGGATGATGGGTATAAAAAATTCGGTCCCGATCGACTTTAATTTTCTTATTTCTTTAAAAAGTAATTTCTGACCGTTAGGAAAACTGGGTTTTCTTTTTCTTGCGTCTGTCTCCTATGTTTTAATCTGTAAACATATTCGACTTTCTTTTGACTTACACAATCCAGTTTATTTGCAGCAAAAAAAAAGGCAATACCCATCTTCAAAAAGCACGTTCTGTCAAATTAAATTTACACTAGTCCGGAGAGTGAAAATTGAGAATTGGTTTTTTTTTTTTTTACTTTCGAAATTGTGTGTTTATTAAGTCACAAGTGCAAATGTTTTGATCTGCAGCTACGGACAAAGTAATTGAAATCACCTAATATTTGTATCTATACGTCACATACGTCGCAGGTATTAAAAAAATTGTTAGCACCTTTCTTTTCAACTTGGTAGAACATTGCTTTGTTCATATAAAATATGTTGCATTTATTTTGCTGTTTACACGCAAATATTTAACATCACGAATATACTCGTGTTTAAGCGTGGAAAATATTCTCAAGACAATCTCCATAATAAATAAAAGCCTTCTTGAATGCAAATTCTTTTTTAATGTATACAAATCTTGATAGTGATCCCAAACCTTATTCTAACGGCTGACGCCGCCTAAACGCCACCACTTACCATGCCACGCCAACAAGCTGTCTGTCTAAAGGTTTACAAGTTCCGAAAGGAAGAGTTTGCGAAAACTTTGATCACTTGAATAACTTTTCAGAAAGTAATCGAATTGCAGCTAATCGTAATATTTTAATTATTTCAAGCATCAAAAAATGTATTAATAACGGTGTGTTGTAATGAGCATTCGAATGGAAGCTTAATTCCTTTAAAAATGCAAAGTGTTAATTTGTGAAGAGATTGTGCACTTTGTAAACGTAGTGCTATCGAGGGATAGAAAACAAGGCGTATCACACATTCTAAATTGTCACTGAAAAAGAGAAAAGAGGCATTATCGCGTATTAAAAACCAGTTCGAAATACGTGAAAAGGACGAGTATTCTGCTCCGTAAAGTGTTTTAATACTTTTTCAACCAGCAAACTTTGGCCAGCTTATTGGTACGTAGTAAATTGTCTTGTTAAGGATAATCGCGCAGGTTTATTTAAGCGAGAACTTTTACGTTTGCGGCATCATATATGATATTCGCTAACTTCGCCACCTTCAATAGTCAATAAATCAAGCTTGTTTACTTTCATACAAGAAAATGCTTTCTTCGATTCTTCAAGGCACTTGGAACAGGATCACTCGGGGTGGCTTTTCAAGTTTCGAGAATGAGCGGAACTGGACTAGACGAATCGGCCGTTAAGGCGATTGGGCAACGATAATAGTGAGAGAATGTCGAAAAACCAACATGCAGCATGGCGAGCTGCAAAATCAAGAGACGTGTAATCCCCACTTTGGCGGGCGAAAGCAATCTTGCTTTTTTGCTAAATAAATATGTATTTCTATAATGAATTCGTTAAACGCAGAGTCAAGATTCATTGCAATCATCAAAAAAAATTTTCCAAGCTAACCGTTAAGCTCGTTAGAAGCTTGATTGCAATTTCTAGGGCATAACAAAAGGTTAAGAATTACTGGTTTCGTAGAACTGCTACTTAGTAAAGAAACTTGAAAAATCAATATGCAATGCCATCGCGTACATTAACTATGTAGAAAAAACCCACCACTAACGACGAAGGATTCTTCTCATTGAAAAGGCGAAGAACGTACGTGAAATTTAGTATTCAGTGACAACTTAACGGAGACAGTAATCGACATAAGAAAAAAAAATATATAGCAAACGTATAAAGGATAAAATTTGAAAAGAAAATTTTTTTTCTTCATTTTTAAAATATTTCTGTTTTAAATTATTTTAATTTGATTAAAACGAAATAATATAATTCACGTGAAAGTTAAAAGCGAAAAAATTTATATATATATATATTTTTTTTTTAATTCCAAACGAAGATACATTTGCAAAAACTTATTCTCTGGAAAACAATACTAGACATTGCAAAAGAGGTAATGAAACCAATGAAAGAGAGAGAGAGAGAGAGAGAGAGAGAGAGGAATGGAAAAAGTTGCATATTTTGACTTCGATTTTTCGCCAAATCACACATCATATGAAAAATCCAGTTCTCATTTAATTTAGATAAATTTTTGAAAATTAAATAAATTCATTAAACATTTTACGTTTTAGGTTCCCTAAACGTAAAATCGAGTACCTACCACTTACTTACTTAATCTGGATACAATAATTGAAAAAAATTAAATAAATAAAACTTTGTGAAAACGAATAAAAAAATTAGATCATGCGTGCGTTGGTTGAAGATACAAAAAAGCTAACGGTGAATAATACAATTGGCAATTATAATAATAATAATATACAGACTGCTGTCACAGTCGCTGTAACATCTATTACATCAACGGCAACAACGAAAGCAGAAGAATTAGCAATTATTACGACCTCTTCGAGTTTATCAAATACGGTAACTACAACTGCAGCAACGGCAGCAACTAAAACGTCTTTCACTAACAAAACGTACAAAATGCAGCAGCAACAGCAACAGCAACAGCAACATCAACATCAACAACAGCAACAACAACAACAACTACAGCAAATGACAATAATGCGAACCACCATTTTAAATAATAAAGGACACAATTGCCCGACCACGGGCGTTAAACTGCGCACAAAACAGACGCAACATCATAACAATAATATAGCATCAACAGGAAATGCGACAGCAGCAGTGGCAGCCGCATCAACAGGAACAAATACGACAACTATAGTAGCTTTACCGAAATCCACTCACGCGAATCAAGCTAGTGAGGAAATATCCGGCGGCGTACAAGATACAATATATTTATGCAATTTTCGTGTATCCGTTGACGGTGAATGGCTGTGCCTAAAAGAATTGCAGGATATCGATTCAAGCGGCAATACGGCAACAACGAGCAGTAAACGTCATTCACAGTATACGCAGCAGAAAAATAAACGTTGGTCTGCAGGCGATCGGAATTCATATGGCGGCATCGAGGATAACGGTATATTTGCTTTGCACAATTTTATAGCTGGTCGCCGTTTATTTGATTATGAGCAAGAACAAACCTATAATACTCATATGCTTACTGCTGCACCGCATGCACGTGAGCCTGGCTTTGTTGGTGTGTTTGGTGGTGGTGGTGGTGTTTCAAATTCAAATGAATGGTCACATCTCTGTAGGTTGCTTTTTGCCTCTCCTTCACTACTATTGCACACAAATCAATTTTTATTTCTAATTGTTTTTCTTTTTTAATATTTTTAATCTTACTTAACATGCAGTTGCTTCCATATACACGCACTTTACCGCAACTTAAATGAAGCGAAAAAAAATCAATTTCTTTTAGAAGCAATTTTTTTTTCGCTCCGAGTGGAGTGTATACGGGAATGCTGTTAAACAGCTCTATAGTTTCTTTTTTTTTTTTATATTTTACATTTTTGTCATTTTTTATAAAAAAACTTGCATTTGCTGCATTTCCCAGCTTACGTAGTATTTATGATATTTTTTTTCTATTATATACCCATCACAGAATTTGTTATTCAATTTATAAAACTTAGTAGTAGACATAAAAAGCACGCTTAGCCCGCTTAAAAATCTCTGCTGTCTATCCATCTATCTTTCATTATCATATCTTTTAAAAGAAGGTTGCGCCTTAACACGCTTATGCGATTAGGTTAATTGATTAAGGAGGAGAATTCGATGCAACAGAACGTTAAAAGTACTGATTAGTTGGCCGACAAACTTTCCATTAAACAACAAATTCTTGGGTATCAAAAATTTGTCTCAAGGCAAATATGATTTTTTATTTTTTTTATATTTTTCTTCTTTATCTCTTATTCTTATTCTTATTCTTACTCTTTGGCTTTTTACTATGTTTTCTTTTTAAAGAACCGAAGACAGGTGTTACGCATAGCCTCTTATCTTAGACGAGGCTACCTTCTTCGCTCTCTCTTGATTTTGATTTCATTATCGACTACGTCGAACCTTGTGATATTTTTGAATGAAGTGAATATTTTATTTTTGAAGTTTCGTACTTTCAATGCGAGCGTAAATCGCAACATGGGATTGCATGACATTATTAGTTTCCTTATCCTTATGGCATCGGATTGGTATCAGTTTCATAGTATGCAGGAATGGTTCTTATTCAGGTTTGAGTAGACCAGAGATGTGAGAGAGCTCTCAGATTTAATAAAGCGGACGCCCTCTTCAGGAGCTGCGGCATCTTGATTTATAGATCTAATTCGACTTGGGTCGGAACTTGAATCTAACAAGAAGCACATGCCAGCTGAAAATTTGCTTGTACGTTATATTAAGGTATTTCCCGAAAACCCTCATTATTTATTAAGACGTGCTATTCTCGTAATTGAGTACAAGATTAAACAAGAAATTAACCATAGAATTTTTGTTACAGATGGCTTCTTATGATTGGTTGCAGTCACAGAAAATCTTTTGATTAGATCGCGCAACAAGACCATAATTCTACGAAGCTGTAAATAAAACGTCATATTTGATGACAGACGATGGATAGATAGTTTTCTTCTTTTCTAATCAAGAAAGATCATTTGATTTATTAAGCTTCGCATCAATGGTTTATGAGTTAAAACAACGAATTGTTGTAATCCTTTTTTGATGTTCGTGCCTTAGATCAATTTTCACTTCCGCTTAGTTTTCAAATTGTGAAATCTCTCCTATTTTAGCTGATTCGTAATGCAATATTTTACCATAGAATCTAATTATGTCTTCTAATTGAAAGGAATACCGTTATGCTATTCTGTGTAGGGTTACATGTATTATTGCGAAGAGGACCTATTTAATCGTTACGGCTCACTTGCTCAAGGTATATCTGGTTACGCGTTGGCTAAGTACCCCTCGGAATTACTTGTAAAATTCAAAATTCTGGAAGAGCTTTCTTCAATGAACCTTGCCATTTCAAGAGATCAAAAGATACGCGGTTTTTCCTGACAGCAGACCAGCCCTGACACCGATTAAAAGAAAAGATCCTGACAATATATACGTATTTGAAATCCTTAATATGTTAACTATTTCTGATATAGGTACACCATATGATCTGGTCTGAATTCCAGCTGGATTGTGGCTTTCATTTAAATGAAAATGCTGATCGTTGTGTTCGTGAAGCTCGACTTGATAATATGCCGGCAAAGATGCCTTCCGTATAATTCGAAATAAGGTTATGCAAGACTAGAAAGACAAGTAACGGTAAATCAATGTCAAATGAAAACAGTCTTTTTCTACAAAATTCGTCCTTAAACCTCTTTGCTTGATGACGGATGTCATCTGATATATTTGATGTATGTCACACAAAAGTGTCAGCTGAGCATCTCATTTTTGTGTTCAGTGAATTCAACCACGCTAGACATTCATTTGAAGTTGTCGGTGTCTATAATAACCTATAGGAAATCTTTTGTGCTCGCAGTAAATCTCATAATTGTTGACCTCTCCTTTTAAGTTATCATAGTGTTTTTAAAAAAATTTTTATAATTCCATAAATCAATAATTCCTACGCAGCCATTTTGCTTGATATCAATCTCCATCATCTGTTTTCATTGTCGTCATCTTTATTGCGGTTATCAAGCTGAAGCTCCTCAGAAAACTTTGGACTGGATATGTAGGTCTTATCATTTACTGGCCTGTAAATCTTCTCTTCTTTTATAAACTTAAAAAAAAAGTTCATGGCATAACATAATGATTACGATCAAAGGTTTCTTAGAATCGAAACGTATAATTCCCGTAAGCGAGCGTCTTACGAACATTTCAGGTGGACCTATGTTTAACTGGAGCAAACGATTCAGAATCATTGAATTTGAACCGAATCGAAAAGAATTCAGAATTATTAAAGTCTAGCTTTGTAACATTTCACAAAGAAGCTAAAGAATGGAGTAAGGGAAAGCTGTTTAAACATTTCAATTTGTTTTAAAAAATTTGCAAATAATGGGAAGGAAATTAAACGATCTTCGCAAACCAAAATAATATGTCCCCGATATTACGTAATTAATTAAAACTTCTTTTGTATATTTTAAGAAAATTCAAAAAATATAAGAATAAGGAAAAACAAACTAAAATATAAAATTTAAGAAATATGAACACATTGATGATTGAGTAAACCGCTTACTCATTTTAAGAAGCAAAAACTCCTCGAACCGCATAATTTTGAATTCTTTGCTTCACTTTAAGCGATAAAAGAAATTCTTTCGGATTATGACTTACATGTACACATTCGACATTCGAGATATCTATCATTAAGCAAATATTATTCTCTTAATATTCATTCATTTCTTTCCGGCCGGTTTAGCGGCGGCGGATTTCGCAGTAGACTTAGCCGATTTATCAGTCGATGCCGATGGTGTTGATTTTCCTTTCTTCTTGTCTCCACGCGCAGCATCCGAAGAGGTATAATCTACTGAAGTAGTTTCTAATACGCCGCCTGGTCTTTTCGCATTAAATGGCAACGCTTTAGGTTTCGGTTGACATAGTATTTCTGAGGACACCGACATTACGGAACTGCTGCTACCCACTGAAAAGCAAAAGCGCAATAGCATTGATTAAAAATGTTTGACATCATTAAGAAAATTGCGGTTATTACCAGGAACGGCTGGATGAGATTGGTATTTTAAACGTTTCATCATAACATCGGCGGCAGCACTACTACCAGCGCCACCGCCGCCACTTTCCAGTGGCAATTTCTGTGACTTCTTTCTTTTGCCTTTTTTTATACAAATTATGACAACGATAACGATGAGCACGACAGGAATAGTTAATATAATAATTGCTTGGGGTGTACTCAATTCAGATGGATCAAGGCGCAGGAAACCATTTGATGCAGGAGCGGTGTTATTACTAACCGCTAATTGGGTTTTACTTAAATTTTGATTTGTTAAATCGGCCAACCGTGATATCTCCTTGTAAACCGTACTCAAAAGATTCATATTAGGATTAGTATTGAACTGATCCAAGTTAGAACTGGAACTAGATAATTGTCGGCTTGAATTAATAAGAGGGCTAATTCCTAGACTCATATTAAGTAAATTGATCGGAATCAATCGATGATCCGAGGGCGCATTTTGATGATGAGGACGCTGCTTATGAGGACGGGGGCGATATTTCGATTGCGTTCCATGTGAATTTTCAATTAATTTTTTAGTTTTCTCATTTAATAGCTTAGACTTAGTGAGATTATCGAGAAATTCACGAGTTTCATCATCGAAAAATATCGGTTTATATAATTTATGACTCTGTTTGTTTCTTTTTTGCTTCGCTTCCGCATAATCGACATCTTTATCGACTAAATTATCTCCATAGAGATTATCGCGTTTACCTGCTTTTAAATTTTCGCTTATTCTTAGAATAGCTCCTAATCCCGGGTAAAATTGTTCATCGCTTAAGTGCACTTGAATATTTTCCAGAATCCATGTGCGAAACTTTGCATTAAAACAATCCTGATTAATATGCTCGCACTGATAACATTTTGTTATCGTTTCATAGAATTTCACAACTATATAAGCCGAACTTTCTGCACGTAAATCGAAAGATCGTTTATACTTGAATGGCAACCAAATATTACCTAAGAAATCGTTACGATCTTCCGGCTCCAATTTCGGCAATCCGACAATCATATCTCCTTGTTCAGATTCTGACTGTCCAATGTTCGTATCCAAGCGTAGGCAAAACGAAGGATCGCCACTTTTTGCCTGCTCATCTAAATGCAAGGGCTCGATATGAACCGATTTCAATTCTTTAAGTACATCTTTCATTGGAGATTTCCAGCCGTTGCCGTTAACATTTAAAAATTGTTTACATTGCTTAAGCATTTCTAAAACATTTTCCACTGTTCCTAAGCTAACTTGACCGGCATAGAAGGAAAATTTTGTGACTGGCACCAAATAATAATTCAGATAGCCTCCTACAGCGTCGTGAAAAGCTCTCTCGGCCAGTCTCTTTGAAGCGTCGATAGCCATGCGTGATATTGTTTGATGGCAGGCATGAAAATAATTTACTAATACGGAGACCATATGATCATTCAATAGACACGGCGGCAAATCTTTCGGTATTAAGTTCTGAGGCGAAAAAAAAACTAAAATTGCTACGCAAAATTCATGTTGCATCAATCTACTCACTTCGAAATCTCGGCGTGCCGTTAAAAGTGCAACGTCCTCCATAGAAAAGCATTTGTTTCTTATAGTTCCAAAGAGATTTGTACCCACAAAGTATGGCTCACTGATTTTTGATTCGTTTGCATTGTCACATTCTTGACAGGATTCCCGATCGTTTTCATCGCTTTCCTCTTTTTGACGCACTTTATTCCCTTTCTCATTGATAGTATTGTGGTAAATGCTGCTCTTGTCATCATCTTGATTGAACGAGTAAGGCGTAACATATCTCATCGTTGCTTCCAATGTGGGACTATATAATGTTCGCGTCATGCTAGGTACACCAGTATCAGTTCCGAGCATTGGTGGTTTTTTCAAAAGATCCGTTTGCATTTCATTGTCTAGGGCGGCTTGTAGATTCAGACTATCGGTAAAACCGCTAAAATGAGGATATGATGCCGTAAAACTCCAGTTGTACGCAGAACAGATTCCGGGGCAAAATAGAACAGTAATTAAAACACCGATGCATGTTTTCATTTTTTTCCCAAAATCAAAGATTCGAAAATCAAAGAAATCGTAATTTTCATTTTATTTTCTTTTGTTTTTTCGACTTTTCAATTAATATGGAATCATTTTGACTTGTCACAGTATAACTTTCAACTAATATTGCCAGAAGCGATCTTTTTTACTTCTTATGTTAAAACACTTCAGAGTTTCAATTGCGGATGTCGCAGAGAAACTTTGAAATTGATTATTGCTAACAAGGCAACATTAAAGTTTCTTGACTCTTGAGGGATATCGGGCAAAAGCTCTAATCTTTTTCGCAAACCCTATTCGTAAGTTCTTGAGAAAATATTTCGTAATCTTAAGAAATCTAATTATTTTCGCTATTAAGGAATAGAAGATGAAAGACATGAGCGTAGCTCACTTTCACATCTAAGCTAGGGAAAGTAATCAACCATATATAAATATATGTATATATAATATATCTCATAAGGCTGAATATTTCACATCATTCGACATTTTCGCAGACTGCAGATTGGCGTATTGAGCTATCTTGTTGTGTGTCGGCACAGGATAATTGATATACAAGTAATGGATGCACAATCAGGGTTGTATTCTTTTCACTGCTTACGTTACGTATATGGGCATATTACAGCTTCGATAAATATTTATTTAAACAAAAACAAAGTTCCCGATTTATCGAAGGCTAAACCCTCCTATAATTCAATCGGAGTCGTTGATAAAAAAAAAAAATTAATTTAAATTTTAAAATTAAAAAAATTTTTATACGAGAGAGAGAGAATATAATTTCTTAAAGTAGAAATAGATTTTAAGCTTTAAATTGACAATAATTGTATAAGGCTTCTTGCGGGCCAGTGGAAACTTTAAATTCCTACTTAATCTAAAACCGGGAAATGGAATTTGTATTCTTTCTTATCGACTCCCTAAGGGTTTTGGTCTCATTTTATTATTCCCCTCGAGATCAATGCAATGCTTCTCTTAGGCAATATTGTGTGAAGAACTATTGAATTTAAATTGCGCTACGTTTGCTTGCTTACCTGTAAAATAAAAGAACCACTTAATCCACGATAGTTGCTTCTGCTCATGTAGCTGTCGCCGCCTCTCGAAAAGGCATTTGTCTCTTAGTCACTTGTACATACATAGAGAAGCGTCCATCATTTTGAAGAGTAATCAGTCTCCCAACTAGATGACTTTGAATTTCTCGATTTTCTACTCTGAAAGTACGAAGAAAAAAACGCGGGAATCTTGTTATGTTTTCCGCTAATATTCTACGCTCAGGTAATTCTCAATACATACTAGTATGTTAGGCTTAGAAGAAGTAGAAGAAGAAGATTTTCTATTTTTCTCTTTATTGCTTTTATCCGATGACGCAGGCGAGTCTTTAATCTTTTCTAGTCCAAGGTTGAAGGATGATTTCGAAGGTTTCATTTTAACCGTCTTCTCATCTATCGTTACTGACTTGAGTTTTTTAAATTTCTCAGCTAGTTTTTCTTCAACATCCGACGAGCTATAATCCAATGATGTTGTATCGACGGTGGAGGGCAATTTAGAGTGTTTAACTTCTAGCTTTTCCGGGGACTTCTCTATTACTGAATGAGTAGTTGCTGCAAAATTGAATAAACGATTAATTAAAAGAAACAAAGGGAGAAAGGGAGAAAGGAAGAAAAAAGTGCTTATACCAGGCAAAACTGATTTTGAGTCGGATTGTAGTAAAATTTCCTCTTCTTCTGGTTGCTTTCTGATAAGATTTTCCGTTTGACTAACGATTTCATCGTTACTTTCATCACCAGCTCGTTTACGTGATTTTTTCTTTTCAATAGATAAACGGACCCGTTTTCCTTTCGATTTTTTACCATCAACGAGGGAATAAAGCGCAAAGGTTGGAATCGCTGCAAACAGCAACAGCAAAAGCCATACAAGTATCGTATCAGATCGTGAGAAATCGAAAATACCCCGTGAGTGAGTTATTGGATCGATTTTGGTTAAGGTTGACATTTTGTTCGCCACTCGTTGAAATACATTAAGATTGGCTGTAGCATTCTTTGCCAAGTTTGCGGTTGCATTCTCCACTTTAATAATAATCTTTTCAAGTTTCTTTGCTATATCTTGGGTAGCAAGATCAACTCCATTGGTTTCATTTGCTTTACTCAAGGCAAGTTGCCCCGGGTTATTTGTCATAACATTCGCCTTGGTGGCCTGCGAAATGTTAGCCGATTTTGGTTGTGCGCTGTCGACAATAGCCGTTGAGGGTCCATTTTCAAGGGTTTTTGATCTACCGACTAAAGCTAAAAGGTGAAAAAATTTAACATTACTTTAGCTAATTTCACGAGCAAACTAACCATGGCTATCACTTTCCACCATATACGATCTGTTTTCGTCTTCTGGATTGACATCAGCATTTTTATAGTCAAAATTTGCATCTTCTTCGCCGGCATATTGCTCATCATGGCGAGTGTATTTCTTGTCGTACTTGAGAATTTCATAAATTCTCAAGACAGCACCTAATCCCGGATAGAATTGTTCATCGTTCATATGTACGTGGATATTTTCTAATAACCAATTTCGGAATTTATTATTGAAACAATTCTGATCAATATGTTCATATTGATAGCACTTGGATACAGTTTCATAGAATTTCACTAATACATATGCAGAACTATCGGATCGTAGATCATAAGTTTGCTTGTGCTTGAACGGTAACCAAATATTATTCAAAAAATTATTATGATCTTCTGGATCAACAATTGGCAAAGGAACAATCATTTTTTCTTTATCATAGTGAAATTGATCAGAATTGATATCTAAATGCAGGCAAAACGAGGCCTCGCTACAACCCTTTGATTCATCCATATGCAAAGGTTCAATATGAATGGATTTTAATTTTCTAAGCACGTCCTTTATAGGTGCTCGCCAACCATTACCATTAACATTGAGATACTTTTTACAGTTTCTATGAAGCAATATGACATTCTCCACCGTCTGTAAGCTGACTTGGCCGGCATAGTACGAGTACTTGGTGATCGGTATTAAATAATAATTTAAATATCCTCCCAACGTATCATAGAAAGCTAGCTGCGCCACAGTTCTGCTGCCCTCATTTGATATACCCGATATCATTTCATGGATACTATGGAAATATTTCATTAAAATCGTAACAATACGATCACTAAGTAAAGAATCTGGCAATTCTTTGGGCATTAAATTCTGTGATATTCAAAAAAAAAAAAAAAAAAAAAAAAAAAAAAAGACAGAAATTGTTTTATTATTTAAAAACGCCTCGAAACATTTTCTAGTTCAAACTTACTTCAAAATCCCGACGGGCCGACAGTAGAGCAATATCTTCCACTGAGAAACACTTTTTACGGACATTCCCAAAAAGATTTGTTCCAAGAAAATTCTCATCATCCTTTGCATCTGACGAGGACGGCAACGCGAAAGTATCCAACTCATCTAAGTCATCGTTTTCATTTTCATCGTCGTCCTTATCGAAGCACTTCACGTCATCGTCGCCACCATATTTACATGGTTTTGTTAGCTTTCTATGCTGGGCATGACCGTTACGACTGCCTCGATTTTGGTTGTTAGTATTGAAACTTTGTAAAGAACTCTTAAGTGCGTTGAAATTATTATACCCATCTAAATATGATGGGGCCTTCAGGATGCTCTTATCGGAGATTCTTATTGATTTTGTGAAATCTCTTCGCATATCGTTTCGCATGACTGATCGTAAATCTTTATTATGTTCGCCAAAATTCGGTTTACCTTCAACAGCTTTGATATTCCAGTCGTAAATTTCCGAGTAACTTTCAAGACAACATAAAATAAATAATAGAAAACCAATGCATGCTTTCATTTTACGTAATAAATATTCAATTAAAATTCCTTAGTTTGCATAAAAAAAAAAAAGAAAACACAAAGCGTTATGAGAAAAACTTTTTAATTTTTTAATTTGTTTTTTTATTGTTTTGTCATTTGTGAGAATTGATTTCATTTCATTTAAATATGATTTGCCAACAAGTGAGAATGTATGTATGCGTATGAATGATAGATAGATTGTTGATTGGTAGTGTTAGCATTACCAGGGTTAAAAATTTTCTCTTTGGAAATTAATTGTTGGAATGTCTTCAGCTTAACTTACTTGCAATCAATCAATCAATCAATCAATTGCTTCGATATAATGAATATAATATTAATTGTAGCCCGTGATCCAGCCGAAATCGAACGAAGCAATTTGGTAAATATATGTAAGCTAGTGGTTAAAGAATTGCTGGAGCAATCTTTACGATATGGACGTATGCTCGATTCGGATCATTTGCCGTTACAACATTTTTTCATAGTTATTGAACATGTCTTAGGTCATGGTTTGCGTACGAAAAAGGTATATAATTTTTGATTTGCGATAATTGCATAACAACAATGGCATAAGTGTATTTATTTGTATTTGTATAAATACCTGCCTCCTCGCTAGGGTTTATTGGGGCCACGTAAAGAGTTATGGGATTTATTGCAATGTGTTGAGAATTATTGCCCCGAGGCTCAAGACATAACGGCCAGTGTGCGTGATTTACCCACGGTTCGCACGCATATTGGCAGAGCACGTGCCTGGTTGCGTATTGCTCTTATGCAGAAAAAATTGGCAGATTATTTACAAGCTCTGATCGAGCATCGAGATGATGCCCTCTATGAGTATTATGAGCCTCACGCCTTAATGATGAGTGATGAGGTATGTTTATCACTTATGCACATTTCGCCATTGAACTCTAACTCGCTCTAATTATTGCAGATTGTTGTAATTATGGGTATTCTCGTAGGCCTTAACGTTATCGACTGTAATTTATGTGTGAAAGAAGAGGATCTTGATTCTCAACAAGGTGTTATTGATTTTTCACTGTACTTACGTTCCAGTTCACGAAATAACGATAATAATGGCGATGATGACGACGACACTAATCAAATTTTAGACGCTAATGGTCAAGGCAATATGATAGCCGTATTGGATCAAAAGAATTACATAGAGGAGCTTAATAGACATTTAAAGTAGGTACATTTGAAATATGAGCACATTTTCAAAAAAAAAAAAAAAAAAAAAAAAAAGGCAAAACAATTAAACCAGTGTTAAATAGGTTTCACATTATGTAAAACCTCTCCTCGAACCTTGGATAAATTTTAAATCATTTTTCCCATAACGGGTCGCATTTATACGAAATCCAAGTTTTGAAAAGCCTTAATTGCGTCTCCTGATCTCGAAAATTTTTTCCTCATTTAGAGAAAATATTCAATAAAAAACTACATTAGATCAGATCAGATATTACAGTGCTTACTCCAACAATAACTTTCGTATGGTACTTGGTAGGACACTAACGCTACAGAAATATTACACATTTATGATTAACAATATGATTAAGAAACGTTGATCAATCTTAAACACAGCATATCGTATCGGGTTACTCTTTGCCTTTCAAGCTTAATTACCCGAGATTAATTATTGATATTTGCGTTGAAAAAATTCCACAGCGCCACTGTCGCAAATTTGCAGGCGAAAGTAGAATCCCTTACTACAACAAATGCTTTAATGAAGGAAGATTTAGCTATTGCTCGCAATAGTTTATTAGCTCTACAGGCTGAAAATCAAGCTATGCGCCAAAGTGCAGGTATATATATATCTATATATATATATATATATATATATGTTTTATATATATATTTTTTGTTCGAAAATGTTTTCTTCTAAAAAGGTGGCGGCGGTGGTGGTGGCGGCCCCCCTTCACTTAGCTCGACACATAGTGATAATAGTACAAATTCCAAAGAGAATGCAACTAATGATAAAACTTTACTCGAATCATTAAAACTCGAATTGGAAAAAGAGAAAAAGCGATCTACCGAATTGGATAAAGAGTTGAAATTGCAAATATCATTGAAGGCTGAGTCCGATATGGCCATGAAATTACTTGAGAAGGATATACACGACAAGCAAGATACTATAATATCGTTACGTCGTCAATTAGATGAAATAAAACAAATTAATTTGGAAATGTATCGTAAATTGCAGGTTGGTAAACATACATCCAAACTTTTATGTTAGAATTTTAAAAAAAAAATATTTTTTTAAATATTAAAGAAAAAAAAAAAGCAATAGTAAAAAAGAAAAAAAAAAAAAAAAAAAAAAAAAGAAATAGATAAACATTTACCGAACCGATTTTCATGCCGCATTTTAAATTAATAATTATATCATTATTTTAGTTTTAACATTTTAGGAAAACTCATAATTTAAAGACCGAACCATATTGAATATTGTGTTTAGTGTCAGAGTTTGTATTGCTCAGTTGTGGTTGGTTACTTGTTCTTTTTTTTTTTTTTTCCTCATTTTTTTTTTTTTTTTAATCATCATCCATAAGATACATCTTCAATAGAATTTAATTGATTTCAAAAAATTAAATAAAATTCTTGCAAACGTTACAATAGAATTTTGTTTCGTTATTCGTGTTTATTCGTTTACATGACTGATGAATTTACCACAACTTCATTTAATAAAAATCTATATATGCAATACTATATGTTGAATGTAAATCACTAAACCGAAATCAGGAATGTGAAGATGAGCTAACGCAAAAAGGCGAAATGGTGGCACGTTTACAAAATAAAGCCTCGCAAATTGGAAATATTTTGCAATCGTTAGAAAAAAAATATGAAACGAAAGCAGAATTAAAATTACAACAGCATCATCAATCGTGGCCGACATCAGGCGGAGGAGAAGGCGGAATGGCTGAGAAATCGCCTGGTACACGGAGACAACAAAATTTGCAGAAATTTGAAGCTTTAACTAAGAAAACTAAGCAAGATATTGGACCACCTATGAAACGATTACATTTAAAAGTTGATGCTATACCGCCATTCAATCCAAATAATTATAGAAAATCGCCGTCAAATCCGACAGCACCTGATAAATATAACGAATTGAATGCAGAAGTTAAAACACCCTCCTCGGCTAAATCTTTAAAATTTCCAAATGACGACATTACTGAAACGGATATTATAAATAATTTACAAATGCCTTCAGCTTCTCTACCCAATGACACTTCCAACAGCGATGATCATACGCTAAAGGAATCAAATAACTTGAATTAAACACCTTAGTATATACAAAAATATAATAACTGAGTATGTGTTAGAAATAAATTTATAGAATTCCATAATATATATATATATATATATATACATATATATATAAATTCTGCATATATACAGATATATATATATATATATACATTTAAAGCATTTAGTATTTATTTTCTTAGTATTGGAAAAAGATGAAAACTATTGTACTTAACTGTCCGTGGAACGTACTTATATGTATTTTAAGATAGAAAATTATTATTATACTTAATGTTGCAAGAACGTATTGTACGTGCAAATAACTAACAAATAAAAGCAATTAAAAATTTTAAAGTTGTTTACTTTAACCTTTTGTAATAATGACTAATTTAATTAGTTTAAATTAATTTTTTTTTTTTTTTTGTTTTAATTTCCAAAATACTTGATATGCTTACCGCTATTTAAGATACACTACATCGTTTCCTTTTATTCCATGGAAATTTGGCAAAAATTAACAAAAGGAGTTGTATTCATCTTAGAGTTAGAGTCCTTTGACACCTTTAGCTTCTTTGCTTTTGACTTGCCTTAATAAATGCACCTTAAAAATTCAAAAAAAAAGGAAGTATTTTTACAAAGCACGAGCGCTGAAAGCTATATCGTCGCATTTTTCAATTTGTGAATAGAAAACAGGAAAGAATATGATATTTTTCTATACGCATGCTTCGCTTGAAGAAAATTCGAAAAAGTTGAAATTTTCATATTTTAAAATTCTATCACATTGGGTGGGTATCGACGATTTCTTACTTTGTCTATAGGTACTTTAGAATCAGGCGCACAATTTTTTTTTTTTTTTTTTGGTTGCAAATACCATTTTTTGCAAATGTCCGCATTTTTGTAATTTGAAGAAAGAGAGATCATAGAGACGTTATAGACGGACAGACGGACAGACGCTTATGCTTAGATAAATTCATTTAAAAAAACTTGGTATATTGATCAAAAATATAAAGTCCGCGATATTTCCTTTTGGTTATTCCAAATGTTTGGTATGGATTGGTTTGATATGAATTGAAATTCAGTTATATTTTGCTGTCTACGCTGAAGTCAACTGGAAATTAAAAGTTGTGACAGTCTTAATTGGAAATGTGTATTCACTCGAAATTTAGAAATTAGAAACCCTATAGTGAGTCAACAGCTACCATTAGATATCCTACCGCTCACAACTATTTTCAATAGCGTTCGTCCTTCCGCCAAAATATGCCGGTGTACTAGATTTCATCGAACGATCGCAGAAATTGCGACCTGTAGAGGGAAAAGCGTAATAAAAAGCGAGTCTGTCTCGAGTCCTTCGCTTGTGCCACAGTTGGGATGGTAGGGTATAATTAGAATTGCTTGTTGTTGTAGTTCAAAGCTAACAAAGATATTATTATTATTTTTATTATTATAATTTAAAGTCTTAAAGCACTAGCATCTAAGACTTTCGGCTTTATTAAAAAACTCTACTTCACTTGAGACTTGAACTCACGACCATTGAGTTGCTACTAACAAAGATAAAATCGAAATGTTCTGCTAAAGTTCAGAGAGCGATCGGAAGCGGGAACTATTAGTTGAATATCAAAAGATAATAATTGCAAACTAGAAACCATAAGTTAAAAATGAAAACTTGGCTAGTGGACGTAGTACTCATGATATATCTGAAAGAGTCAGATCGAATGGAAACCAAACCCGGATGTTAAGTTCCTTTTTCTTATAAGAAATTTTCGATTCCGCCCGACGACATTCTGGTCTAATGAATCCAATTGTTGAAACATTTTTGTGGCCATCACGCGAAAATTCGGAGAAGATTTGTACGATTTCTGAAATCTAATGCTCACGTTTTGGACCCATGGCAAATTTTAAATGGATTGGGCTGGAGTGGACTTTTACAATCAATCCTTTTATTTTAAAAAATTCATTATATGAAAAAACTTTGCAATTTTTAAAATTTCTCAACAAAATCGCTAACTAATAATAATATTTCGGCAAAGTAAATTTCTCTCAAAAATTGACGTCGAATAAACCAATTATTTAAAGATATCCCGTATAAAGAGTGTCGTGAAACATAAGTGCTTCTACGGTAACAAAGTCTTCTCTACAGTACTTTGTGACAAAGGTGGATGAAGAATCAATGAAATCTTTGGCAAGCAGATAAATGTTGCTAAATTTGCGCAAAGTCAGTTCACGGTCCACTCCCTTCCCGAAGTGCGCGAAGTGTAATTTTTCGCATTTTATCACGAAATTAAAAACAGAATTCTATTGGTATTAATGATCGTTTTTGTGTGATTATAATTTTCATTACCATATCCATGTTAGCTTAACCTCTCCTTTTTAGTTTCTTAAATGTCCATAATGCATCAGATTGTATATTCTTTCACTTCCTAGTCTGTACGATGGCACGTTCATCAAGGCGATTGTCTAATTTTGTTCATATAGGTGCCTGAACTTGTGCCGCCCTATTCGTCAATGCGTATGGCTTGGCATCTCTGACCACGCCGCCATGTCTCTAAATATTCATACTTTTATCAGTGCCGCTGAACAGTCCTTTAAAGAATTCCATCGCATTATGACAAATCTTTCTCATCTGCATCACTCTGCATATTCTCTTCCATCTCTGCGCCTTGATTCGTATGCGTGTTTGTCCGTCTGGTTTGTTTTAAATGCGTTCGTTTAATCTCGCATCTCACGTATTGTAATTAAATCTATTTTGAAAATTCCTACCTATTTCCAACTTAAGAACAAATTTTTGTATAGATAAAGTTTGTCGGGTAGATAGATGGATAGATAGATAGATAGATAGATAGATAGATGTATCCGGATCGTGTGTCACTAAGTCAATAAAACTGGGTTTTATTTATAAAATTACTGATATCGATAATGTACAGCCATATCACCATATAACCGAACACACAAAGGCGTATTCAGTTTAATTATAAAAAATGTGCTTTAACAAATATACAAAAACATATTAACAAGAAAATAAAAATATTTGAAATTATTAAAATATTGTATAAACTGAAACATCATCTATAGAAGGAAAGGGGAGTAAATCGCCTTACATTGTATGTGCAAAGAACTATTACACCTGCTTAATGTTAAATTTGAACAAAAAAAAAGAAAAAACTCTCTAGTATGTATAATATTTAATGCGTACAATTATATATAAAAAAGAAAAAAAGTTCATTCATTCATTCATTAATATTCATATTCGTAAATAAATTATTGAATATTTGAAAATTTTTCGATTAAAAATTCTTTTTTTTTTTTTCATTTAATTTTTTTTTTTTTTTTCTCTATTTATTTTTCCTATTTTTAACAGGAGTGCGAAGCATCACTAAAGCATAAGACAGAATTGTTAACCAAACTAGAAACGCAGAAAGAAGATATGGCCAACACCATAGCAAGTTTAGAAAAAACGTAAGAAGAACTTTTAAAATTTTTGTGAAAATTGCTTTTTGAGAGAATTCGAATAAATTCGTAAATTTTAATACAGAAGAAAATGCTAAAGGAGACCATAAATACAATAAATGCTCATAATGTACGCAAGGCTTTATTAACAAGCATTAGAAACGTCTAGAAATCAATTACGATTCATGATCCTTTTAAATTAAGTTCGTTGATCGTATGCTTGTCGCATGAGAGCAATTTTCAATATTCCGCAAATTTATATAGCTAATCTATGTAAGGCACTTAAATCCACACAATTGAAAGCGGAAAATTTATCAACTCTGTCAATGATTTGTTGTTCGGTCAATGATTTCTCGCGAATAAATGTTTATTATCTCAATATTTTCGCTGGCCGTCCATTGCAATTATTTTGCGATAGAAAAGAGCGGATCAAGACAAGCTGACGGCTTTACTTATGTGACTTCGAACCAAGCAGTTAATTTTTCACGCAATGCTTGGGTTATTTATTAATTTCACCAAATATTATTTGTGGGCGGTCGATTACCCAGTTTTCAGTCATCGCCAAGTTTTGAGGACGATTTTGGTAATGAATTTGATACGATTGTGTTTTTATCGCGTGTAATGATTCTTCGGGTTCTATCCCCGCATCACTGTAGTTTCATATCCAAGCGGATTCCAGTTGATAGCTTAAAAAGCATAGATATAATCGAATCGTTAATAATACGCTTGCGTACAATCGCAGTACCTATATGGCGCCAATAAATCGACGTCATTTATGTACCAATAACTAGTGTAACGTATATAACTATAACTCTTATGTAGTATAGTGTAAACCTTATATAGTATTAGTATAACTATAACTTATTTATAGCTCATCATAAATGCGCATAACTTATATACAATTATAACTATAGGCTATAACTATAACTAATACTATGTACATATGTATTGTATGCATATTGTAACAGTTGTCATTTATAATAGCTATATGTATAGTGTTATGTGATGATAGTCACATATAAGTATGATATATAACTATAACTGTTATAACTATGACTACATCTATATATACAACAAGTTATAATTATAACACTATAACCACCACTATATTTATAACTATAACTATTTGGCACTGTAACCATCACTATATATATAAATTATAAATTATATTATATATATATAGTATATAGTATAGTATATAGTAGATAGTCCATGGTATCTATAGTACAGTACATAGCATATATAAGATAGTATATATACTATAACTATAAATGTAACTATAATTTCACTTACATACTTATACATATACTTAAATTTATATAGGTATAATTACATATAAGCCATGTAGAATCATAGTTATATATAAGTTGTATCTAGTTATAATTATAGTGTCATATGTGTAAATGTAATGGCAATTATAGCGTTATAGTTATAACTTATGGTTATATGAGTATTATGTAGTTATAGTTTCGATTATAGTTAATATCGTTAGTATAAATGTTTTTGTAATTATGTATAGTTTTACATGTACATAATAAATATAACTATATAATTATAACTGTAGATAATTTCGAAAACACACACAAACACACAAGGCAATCTCAAGCAAATCAAATGATGAAAATTCTTTAGCTTAATTGAAAACAAACATGATTATGTGAATGTGTTTTAGTTATGTTGCATTAGGCTAAGTTAGCAAATCATGAACATTTTTCTAAATTAAGGCCTAGACGGACTAATGGATATTTTATACATGTCGCATTCGGATGATGATAGAAAATGTTAGTTTGTAAATAACGTTTTGCGTAGTTCGTTGTCTCCATAATAAACTAGATAACCGTTAATTGGAAGTAATATGACCAATTTAAAACCAATTTATTCGTTTCATATAATTTTCTAATTAATTTTTTATGCAAACTACGCCTTTTTAATTTATACAAGCAGCTGGAACAATGATAAATCGAATCTCGGTGAGATACTCAAAACTACGTCAGAAACATTATCGACTCAAGTGAGCGCTTCAGAGGAAAGGGCTAATCGAGCTGAACAGCGAGCGATTCAAGCGGAAACTGCGACAATGATTGAGCGTGAATGGCGTGTGTCCCTGCAGCAGAAGGAAGTTAAGCTAAAGGAACAAATAGCTAATCTACAAACTTATGTGCAAGACTTTAAAAGCGAAGTTCAAAAGAATGGGAAATTAAAAGCAGAATTAGATAGACTTCATCATCAATGGTCCGAAGCGCAGAGAACTTTAGAGGAATTGGGCATACAATTAAGCGAAAACAAATTAAAGGTTTCCGAATTACAGGAGAAGGAAAGACGGCAACAGCAATTATTGCAAAATCCTACAATCTTATCATTGGGAGGCAATGTAATGAATTCAACAGTGGGAGCGGCGGGAATATGGGCTCCTGATTCTATATCTACACATTGTACAGCTTGTAAAAAAGAATTTAATTTAACTCGTAGACGACATCACTGCCGAAGTTGTGGGGAAATTTTCTGTAATTCATGTTCAGATCATAGCCTGGCTTTGGTCAATGAAAATGGTCAACTAGGTAAACCAGTGCGCGTATGTTTAGCGTGTTTTGCTTCACAAAAATGATTGTTAGTAAATGGTATTAAAAATTATTTAAATATTAAGTAATATTTTTGTGAATTATTAAATCTTTGACTTCTAACTCTTGTTATATAAATTAACGTAATTAATTTAATCGCTGTATAAAAAAATATACGTACACACATAATGAAAGGATGTTTTTAAATAAAATTTGTACTAAAAATATATACGCAAATGCGAACACGCATTAGGTACTATTTTATTAAAGAAATCAAAATAACAGATAAAATAAAATTTATAAAATTTGCGAGAGATAAATAAATATTTGTTTTATTTCACAATATCACAGTAACAGTATTGTATTATTATACACAAAGCCTGAGTTGTAAAACGATGTTGTTATTGTCACTCGTCAACCCGCAATATTCATTTTCTTCTTCTTTTAAGCAGTGTTGATTACTCTCAATGAAACAAAGGTTTTAAGAGCAGTTAAGAAGCACTAATCCGTGAAATAATTGTTATCAACACTTAAACATGGAGCAAAGGCAGAAGATTCATTTACAGTATATTTGCTAAGAATAAATTTAAATAATGTTGGCGAAAAAATGTGAAAATTTTTTCTCTTAATAGCTTTGAAAAGAAAATGAATTATAAATGAGTAGATAAAAATGAATGCGAAGGCAAACTCAAGCAATTCTTAGAAGATGATGGTGATGATATGTTAAATATAATGCAAAAAAAAAAAAAAAAAAAACTTCTCGGATGTCTTAAAATTTGTTAAAAAAAATATAATTTAAATAGAAAAAAAAAAAAAACACACGCAGAAATATAGCTGAAATTAAGAATAAATAATAAAAATGTTGGAGAGGTCAGATCACGTAACATTGTCATTGTCAGTTACCGGCAGTAATGAGGATATTGCACATGGAACCATAATACCAGCACGAAAAAGTTTAAGGCGGGTACGTATTTAAAAATATTGCACCTATCGAATAATGTAAAAAAAGTAATTTATAATTTCTTGCAGTCGTGGAACCAACTGCCTCGCTGCCAACGCAACTTAATTATTTTAGGCATTTCAGCTATGTTCATAACGTTACTGTTCCTTTTACCTACGCAACTTTTGAATAAATCAGGCAAACAAAATGCACTAACTGGTGATGATTTAGTACATTACAAAGATCTTGGCAACATTTTGCTTGGTAATAAAGTTGAGGAAATTGCTACGAAAAGTTTGCTTAACGATCCTCAAAACACGGGGGTTAATTCGGAAGCTATTCAAGACGTACCAGAGGTAACTAATTAATGTTATATGTAAAGATTCCATTAATATTTATTTAATAAGAGCCACAAAGCCACGCTTCCGTCACGTTAGTAGGCCTACTATTAAGCAATTCACAAACCTTAAAAGGCACTGTTAGAAAACATTTCTTTTGTATCTATTGATCAAAAGAAAGCTCGATTGTAAACAGCAGTTTTGCGATCAAAGGATTTTTATTCCGATAGTATATAGCATATCCCATCGACGACTGTAAACTCACTTTTCATAACGAGTCGACAAACTGGCCCTTAACTCGGAGTGGTATTTAGATTGTTAGTACATGCGTCTGGTGAAGTTATATTAAGTCTCTTTCTCAGATGGTTACAAACAAACAAAAAAAAAATATATTGTAATGAAAAGGAAAGAAAGCTCAAGCATAAGATAAATTGTAAACGTGGTATGAGTAATGCAGAATTACTATTATTACTATATACCAGCGCACATACAAATATTTTCTTAGTTCTCTTTAAAAATATTTTTACTTTTGCTTATTCCACCAATCGTGGAACAATTTCCATCATAAAAATTATAATAAAAAAAAAAAATTAGTGAAGTTATTTAAAAAATTATTGTTGTTCTTTGTTTCCTAAATTTATTTCATTAATATTCTTCCTTCACAATTTGAAATATATTGAACGACATATTCTCCTTTACTTCTAAGTAAAATTATTTTCACAAATTATTGAATTTTTATTAATAATTTTATTTTCTTAATTAATACAAGTATATATATATGTTAAATTCGGCGGGAGTCGAGTCTCGCTTACTCAGCACATAAACGCTTGCTGCACTTAAGATTTTAATATGCAAGAAATTGGTTATTTTCATACGCTCCAAGACTTCATAATTTAAAAATCCACAATAATTAAATTATAACTAACGCACTTTATCAAATTCTACTCTCGAACTCCTTTTATTTAATACCTATATTAAAGATATTTTTAATATATTAATTTACATTAATCCAGTATTCTTATTAATCATAGTTAAAAAAAAAGAAAATTTTTCTTGCTTGAGAATAACATATAATAATAAATTATATCATAAAAAAAAAAGAAACAAAGCCAAATCCTGTAAAGGATGCATCCGATCGACCAAGCGACTTGCGGTATTGCTACGAAAACATTCCCAATTTTTGTACATTTGCTTGAGATGATCTTGCGTTCACAATTTGTAGAAAAAGTAGATATAACTTACCTTTTTCCTTTGTTGCAGCAAAATATATTACCAGCTCCTGAACCCCAACACCAGCTGTCACTACAGCAACCAGCTCAGCAACTTCCAGATCTTTCAAAGAATATTGAAAACGTAAACGAGAATAATATTGAAAGCAATAAAGAAGATGTCACGAGAGTGGAATCGCTCGAAAATGATCGAGCTGAGATTGAATTAGCCATACAAGATCCCAACCTTTTGCCAGGAAGCAAAGGCGTTACAATTGAAGAATTTCTTGAACGTATTGATGTCATAAATCTACCTCAGAAGCAACATTTTCACGGTGCGCGCAACGAGCGACAAGTGGCGGTAGTTAACGCTTTTAAACACGCTTGGGATAATTATCGAAAATACGCTTGGGGCCATGATAACTTAAAGCCAATCTCGGAAACATTTTACGATTGGTTCGGTTTAGGACTAACCATAGTCGATGCACTGGACACAATGTACATAATGGGTTTAGAAGATGGTAAACACAAAAC